TTATAACGAGGTTCGACATTTGTAGGTCGATTTCGTCACTGCAAATAGCAGCAGTGACCATTTTTAGATGAATTTAACTAAAGGAAAGTGTTTGGAAAGCTGCTTGCAAGACATTGTAAACGAAAAACCGAAGGATGGATGGGAAATTAAGATATAGAAAGTTTTAATAAATTAATTAATTACGCTACGAACAGGACTATTCATACCTAATTACCTAAACAATATTAGATAATCAGTTGCAATAACAATTAACTCGAAAATCGCAAATCTTCTCGTGAAATAAATAAAATACGAGTATTCAATTGTTGTAGAAAAAAAACAATGAAATGTTTACATTATTGGAAAGAAATTGTTTAGCAATTAACGATTAAAAATGGACGATGAAATTAATTTTCGAAGATTTAAAATGACGGATTTAAGGCTATTGCAAACGATTATCGAAAATAACACATTTTAACACACATTTACACACGAGTCGACTTTGGCATAGTTAAAAATACAAAATGAACGCCAAGACTAATCAAAGAACTACGGTTACGCGAATATTCTCGATTTTTCCCGCCTAAAATTTGTTTTTTGATATCCCTGAAAGGAACCATAATTCTACTGTGGTAAATTCTTTTTGTTTTGCAATAAAAATTCAAAAACTTGAATAACAAATTCGAGAAAATTATTTGAATTCTCGTTGTTATTTTTTTAAAGGCTTTTAATGGTCTTATGAGCAACAAATTGTTATTGTTTATCAATAAATGGATTAATAGATTGTTATGAAAGATAAACAGCGAAAGATCATTAAGAATTAGAGCACAAGTTACCAAAAAGGCGGAAATTTGAATTTTTAGAATAATTTTTAAAGAATTATTATTGTATACATAAATTATTGTATATATTGTGTAGATAATTTGAAGAACAATTTTGTCATAATTTTTCAGATTTCCTTGGTACCTTAAGTCTAAGTTTCAGTTTTTGATCAAGAATTCGTACTTAAAATAGCGGGAAAAATGAGAATTTCGAATAATGAAAGTTGGTTTGCTATAATCTATATAAAAAACAATATTTATAGCGAAGTATGAATGAAAGGGGGGAAAATGATACGAATGCAGAGGTTAGGTACGATTAACTAGAGAATTTTTTAACAAATTGTCGGGCCGATTTTTCGAGAGATTTGCTCCATAAGGCTCTGGCGAAGATTTAGAACAAAAACTTTTTAAAGATTGTTTATTTATAGGCGGACCCTAGATCGTATATAAACAATTATAATTTTAGAAACTTCCGTTTGTTTCGTGTTAATAATTCTTGGAAATCGATCGTCGGAAGCACTAAAATCGAATTATGATTGGAAAGACAATTGAAAATCACCATAACATTGTTAAAAAGAAATATTTATTTAAACCATCTAGGTCGAAAAGATGAATTTCAATGATTCCACTAAGTTTTAATGATTTTTTTTAACAATTATACAACTAGATTGTATTTTAAAGTTGTTCAAATTTTTTAATTAATTCAAACAATCTGAAATGTAAAAATAACATTTCATTGAATTCCGATGGTTTATTAACCAACTATCAAACTTGAATTAATTTTAAAAATTTTGAATATTTTTTTATAGGACACATAATTTATTACTGTAGTATTGTTTTATTGGATTAATACTGGAAAGAATAATTTTTTTTTAATATCTGGTGAATAACGAATGTTTTCATAAACAAATTCGATTTTAGGAACTTTCATAATGGACAACGACGATGATTTTATCTCTGTTAATCTAGAAGACATTGCTGGAACAATGATTTGTACGCCTTCTATGAAGGACCGTAGAGTACATTATGTTATCTAATAATCCTAAGCACACATTATGTAATAAACATTATTTACAAAAGCAATTTACATCTTTTCTCCAAAACTCCTTCATTTCCCTATAAACTAAATAAGAATAAAATGGTAAACCTGTTATTTTATGAAAGACCACCGATTTGATGACAGATTTATATGATGTTATAAACAAACAAAATTATTTAACTGTCGAAATATCAATTGTTAAAATTTTGTTGGTTTTTTCAATAGAAAGTTTCACTTTTGCTTAATCAAGTATTGTACTGTAAAATTCGAACCTTCTGCCCAAAAACTATCCAACATTCTTTTCGAAAATTATCCTACATATTAATTGATATTTATACAATTCGAACAAATTTTTTCAAAGTAAAATACTAATAGTAAATTTTTTCGAAAGTATAATATAATAATTGACAATTCTGCGCGGTCTACAAGAATTTAAGATTCTAAAAATCTATAAATTATTTTTGTTTCATATAAATTTTACTGAAAGTAGAGACCTAACCTAACCTGAACTCGTCTATTTTGGACCCAAAAAATTCCCTACGATCGAAACTAAACAATTCTGAAAAGGTTCTTAAATTCCTTTCAAAGCTTATTCGCCTGGTACAAACCAATCTTTTTTAAATTTTTATGTAAATCAATATTTAACAACGTTAATACTAAAACTGTATACCAGAAAATATCCCAGAACTCCCATTGGATTTCCAAAAATATACACTTTCACAAAAAAAGAATCATAAAATTCGAAATCTTCATAAATTTTCTAAAAAATAATTTTTGAAAACCACAAAAAGTTTGTCGAACAATGTTTATCGTCTCTATGACCTAGGGCTCACAATCCTTCATCTAAAATAAATTCCGCAAAAGATAGATACTTAATCAAGACCATAAGCCCTTTAATTTTGTCCCAAATATTCTCTTTAATCGAAATTAAATAAAACATTTTTCGAAATATTATGACTTTTCTTTGTTTCTTAAATAATTTCAAAAATCCTCGATCCTTTCCTGTCTAACACAAAAATAGAAACAAATTATATAACAAAATGGAGGCTTAATAAACTCTTGATCCAACTCGAAAAATCCTATATCGAGAATTCTTGAATTATTATAATTCAAAACCAAGTTTCTCGACCAAATGAATGTTCTCAGGTTTCTCAATCCGATTAGCCAACATTCGCTACGAACCCAACACAAAAGGTTCGAGTAATCCTCAAAAAGTGTCAGAAAAAGAAGGTTAAGTCTCGTTTATCGGCTCCAAATGGCCGCCATCTTTTTGTCCGGAGTACAAAGCGAACACAAAGGGACTCTCTGAACCGAACGACGAGCGTCGACGTCGCAACGCGTCTGTTTAAAGACGGAGGACACCCGTGGCCGGCGATATAACACATCGATCTGTCCTCGCGCAGACGCTTCCAGCCTCTTCCTTCGCTTTTCGCCACCCTGTATAGCCCTGACCGGGATTCGAAGCCAACAGGTGATGCTCAGACACTCCCTCGAGCGGCGTCGGCGTCGCCAGCTATGAGTCCTCGACCCTAACCGCGATAAGTATACCTCAAAAGTCTCGAAACCCGTCGAAAATACAGATTTTTTCTCGAAAAATTCAATAAACACCAGGATTTAGTGATAAATCTTGGGTTTTAAGTGTGTTCCCACATCTACACGACCGCCGGCGGTCATTTTCCATCGTTGAGGTATAGAAAAAACCCCCTTTAAGTGCCTGGGCACCCCCCAGTGAGTCCCAAAGTGGCTGTTTTTCAATTGTGAGTGACATATTAAGAGGACATTTTTTTCTGTAACTGATGGGGGGAATTAGGATTTTTCGATGATTCTGTGACCTTTTTGTGATATCTTCCTCTCCAATTTGTTGCCACTTAATTATTTTCCCTAACCCTGTGACGAGTTTTAAACGTGTTGTAATCCCTGTATCGAACGCCTTTGTGGAGGAAAAATTGGGATTTCTTGTGAATTTGTGACACTTTCAACGGAAATTACCCCTCCCCAGTCGTCCAGTTTTTAACTTTGTAGGGCAGAAGCCCCAACTGGTGAGACAATCTAAGATTTTTTTATAATTCTGTAAACTTTTTGTGATATCTCTCTCTTCAATCCCCTCCCTCATCATTATCCAATACTATAACAAGTTTTAAGTGTGTTTTAATCCCAACTAATCCCCCGCAAAGTTAAGGAAGAATTAATGTTTGTGACGATTTCGGAAGGAATTACATCCCCGTCCCTCTCCTCCCACTCGCCAGTCGAAAGATCTAGGATTCATCTCTGATCCAGAACAAATTTCTTGGATCGCGAAAATCCAAAATTAAAATAATTTGACGACATTCGATCATTCTTCTTTCCAAACAAATGTTTTCTAAAACTGAAATTAGCATAATGTGATTATTATCATTTGCTTCGACTAAGTATAATTCTCTTCCAACGTATACTTCTTCAAAGACTATAATAAATATTCGGTTTCAAGAAAAATGTGATCAAAAAACATAATCAACATTATTATTTAAATGTTGAAATTTCGGAATCTTTTTGGCCATATTATCCTACTTTTTTGTGTTAATTACGTAGAAAAATGAGTATGATAATGAATATTAATAATTTGATTTTTAATAGTATTTTAATTAATTAAAAAATTCTCAATATTACCGAAAACTATGCACTTTTATTTCTTTTTTCTCATTATTTGTTAAACAATTCGATCATCCGTCATTTTTCTGCCATAATTGCCACAGATTACGATATTAATAAATTAAAATTCATTTTGTTCTAATATTATTTAAATTAAATAACTAATTACAAAGTTTTTGTCTTTTTTTCTTCAAATTGGAAGTAAATAACACTTTGTGAACAATTACATTCTGAAAAAATTGTTATTGTTTTCTAGTATTTGTTTATGCTAACTTCAAGTCCGAATGCAAAAATGAAAAATTTTAATTTTTAATATCGTTTTACAAAGATTTCAACTATTATTTTAAAATGATGACACTTTAAGAGGGAATTCGATTTCGAAAAGTGACTGGTGGGAGGGGGACCTACGTGTGATCGATGATCCAGAGTCGATTTAGTGGCTCCAATTCGTGGCTGAAAAGGGGAAAATGTAGGAATAATAATTGTCGTTGTGAAAAAACAAAAGTTTTTAAAAATGGACGACCCGATCAACTAATTGGCCACCTGTTGAGTTCAAGCTGAAGCATGACTGAAGAAGTGCGGGCGAACTTGGCGGAAATCTGTGGAAAGAAGAAGTTGAAGATTGCAGAAGAGCCTCAAAGATTTGAAGAAATCGAATTCTGTAAGTAATTTTTAATATTTATTTGAAAATACAATTTACACAATACAATAAAAAAATAATGACAATACTGCGTATGAAAAAATTACGCAGACCTCCGCCACACTTGTTGCCTGCTTATAATTATAATTATAGTAATACGTTATAAATTATTTTTTCTGTTTTATTGTGTATATTGTATCCTTGAGAGGAGGGTAGTAAAAATAGGCGGATTATGAACCGTGTTGGCAGCAAAAAATGTTATCAGTATATGATTCTATATCTCCTAAAAAATATGAAATACACATTTATCCAGGAAGGGATGGAAATGTTATTAAAAATAAAAGTAAATATTGCCGTCCATAATATTATATATTTTCTTGTTTGTAAGGTGATTTATCAGTCAAATAATTATTTCAAATAATAGAAAGTAAATTCTTCCTAATTTAGTCTCAAGTATATTATAAAAATTATAAAATTATAATTACGTAAAAGTAAGAACCGTTAACCCATGCACCAACATTGTGTCCGCAATAAGGAGCAATGTTTAAACGTTTGACTAAAAGGTAATATTGTTTCATTTTTAAATATTTAAAAATATACATCATTCGAAAAATACGTCATAATGATCGAGACTACCAGCTTGGAAACTAATTTTAAGGGTCGATTTATACAGACCGAGCCCGAGCTCGAACTCCGAGTAACTACACAGTGTTTATGAGATAAGAGATGAGTGATAAGAGACCTAATAGAGAGGCTGATGATGCTCGGAGAAGGTCCAGACGAGCGCTGTTTGCAAATCGTTGACCACGATTTTGTTTCCCATTTGAATCTTGTAATTGTTATTATAAGATAGAATTCATTCAAAAGAAGAAATTATTGAAATTCTAAAGAAAATTTTTAAGTAATTTTTAATTTCATTCTGATATTGATATCACGTAGCATTACAAAAGTTTTTAAATCTTTAAACAAATTATATATTATGTTCAGCTTCTAACAAACTTTATCTCCAAAGATAACAATTTAGTGTTATTAATATTCAAGGAACAACATTTTTCCAATCTGTCTAATTAATTTCCCATTTAAATCGAGTGATTTTTTAAAAGTAATAACGTATGTATTCAGTTAGTTTTTAACCTCTTCACGCCCTTGGCCAGATATGTGGACGTTTAGTTCTTTTTTTTTTTATAATTATAATTATTGACAATAATAAATAGATAAAAAAAAGAAAAAAAAAATTCTTCCCTGAAGAGATTGAATTTATTTTTAATTAATTATTCAGCAATGAATTTTAATTAGAATTTGTATACTTTCAGTGCAACAAAGCAATATAATATTTAAGAGAAAACTATTTCTTACATTAAATTTTATCTTATAACAAATGTTATTTTCTGAAATAACGTTCAAGAAAAAATGTATCTCTAATCAGCCAAATTAACTTTTCCATTTAAATCGCGCGATTTATTAAAGTAATGACAAATATTACTAGACAATTCATAAGTCAATTATTGTGTAATGGAGAATTCGTTTAATTTCAGCACAAAATGGCACAAGGAAGCTTCCAGTATCAAGGAACACAGCGGAGAGCCTGTGGTCCTGGAGCACATTGGAATGTCCAGGTAAATACAATTAAACTGAAATTTCTAATGGTACTATTCTAGAAAACCCATCATTTAAGAAAAATTATTTAAAAATTAGTTATATAATTCTATATTTTTTCAAAAAATTCTATACAGGGTGTTCGGCCACCTTTGGGAAAAATTTGAATGAGGAATTCTAGAGGCCAAAATAAGACGAAAATCAAGAATACCAATTTGTTGATGAAGGCTTTGTTAAAAAGTTATTAACAATTAAATTCCAAAATTTCAAATCGTTCTGGAAAAATTATTTTCGGTTGCGGGGGTCAATTACAATCATTTTTGGTGAATACACATACCTACGAAATCCTATCCACTTTCTAGAAAAAAATTCGAGAAGTTGTGAAATTTTTCGACAAAATTAAAAAATTTCAAATCGTTCTGGAAAAATTACTTTCAATTGCGAGGGTCAATTACAATTATTTTTGGTGAATAGACATACCCTTCAAATCCTAGGCACATTCGAGAAAAAAATTCGTGTAGATGGACAAATTTTATTAATAATTTTGTTAATAACTTTTTAACGAAGCCCCAATCAACATATTAGTATTCTTGATTTTCATCTTATTTTGGCCTCTAGAACACCCTGTATGTATATGTCTCTATAGATTATTCCACCGTCACTTCCTTTATTTTCAAATGTTTTATATAAATGTATGTATCGGAATCAGCAATTTAATGTATTTCGGTATTATATCGGTTTTAGTATAGCTTTACTCGCATAATACCGATATTTATGTCTCTTGCGAACAATGGATGAAAATGAAGGAAAAATCAATTAATGAATGCAGTTAGTAGAAGATTTGTATTTCGTAACAAAAGGTATTAAATCGAATATAGGTGGTGAGAGACAAGGTGACAACTCGATGCTTGTGGTACGCGTGTGAAGCGCTAGGAATTGGGCTGCTGCTAATGCTTTTAGGAGCTTGCATGGCGACCATAGGTGAGTAGAACTTTAGAAAAGAGTGAATGTTTATTCGTTTGATGCATGGCTAATGCTATTTTATTTCTACAAATATTGGATTAGCCAATAATTAATTTTCAATTTTTAATGTGAATGACCTCTTTGTTTAGTGCACAGGTTATAAAATAAATCGATAGGGTAAACGTAACGTAAGAATCTTGCACAGTACTAACCCAAACCTTACACACTTCTGAAATAAGTGACTTTATTAGACACTACACTTCTAACCCAAACTTAAGGCGGAACTTGCACAATCCGAAACAAAAAATCATTATTAGACTTCATAGTTTGTGATATAGCATACTTGGACATTACGATGACCCTTACTTTTCGACTTTCGATTTTTTCTTAATTTCTCATCATTTTCTCAAACTAAAAGAAGTTGTACTCAACATTTAAAAAGAAAGTAATAAATACCAACCTACGAATTAAATTTTTTTGATACTATTAAGTATTTAATATTGTGTTTGCATCCTCACTTTTGTCATACTGGAAAACAAAGTTTACTCAACCCTGGTTTAAAGTGTTATATTTTATACCTTATCTCTTATTAGTATTAATATATTCGTGAAGAGAATCAGTAATTTTTATAACATAAAGTAGACCTTCTACAGAAAAATGGGTATGTCAAAATCAAATTCTATGACTTGAAGAAACGCCTAAAATCATTCCTTTTACTATAAATTATGCGTGATTAAAAAATATTATTGTAACAAAACGAGATGAACGAGCCTACGAGGAATTTCCTAACATGGAAAAAATGCATCGTGCACCAGTTACTGATTCGGGAGAACGCGACAAAATTTGGCGAAACTTGGAGAAATCACGCGTCAAAAAATTTTAATGGGAGATTCTAGAGGCCAAAATATGGCGAAAATCAAGAATACCAATTTGTTGATTGAGGCTTCGTTAAAAAGTTATTAATGTTTAAAATTCCGTCTGTAGAACGGCAATCTGCGAACGGCTGCGTACGCGTGATAGTGATCCTCACTCAGAAAACTGTAAAACTGTCGATACGTCACGAAGTAGAGTTTCTCATGCTAGGTGAGAACCACTATAGCGCGCACGCAGCTGTACGCAGATTACCTATCTACAGACGCAACTTTAAACGTTAATAACTTTTTAATGAAGCCTCAATCGACAAATTGCTATTCTAGATTTTCGTCTTATTTTGGCCTCAAGAATCTCCCATTAAAATTTTTCCCAGGGGTGGCCGAACACTTTGTACAGGGTGTCCCGTAAATAGTGTAAGAGCCGGAAATGTGGGGCAGCTGAGACGATTCTGAACAACAATTTCCTTTGCAAAAATGTCGGATGGGGCTTCGTTTTTAAATTATTAACTAGGAAAGAACTAGAGGAGTCGACGCGTCGGGTAGGTAGCAAGATGTGCATTGAAGATACGTCGAGGAACGAATACAAGTAATTAAAAATACTACCACTGCAACTGTTACCCCTGAGGATCGGATAAATCAGCCAGCTAAATCGAATTTATTAATTATTTGTATTCGCCGTTTCCAAGGAAGAAGGAATAGAATGTGGAAACATAGTTTTTTAGGAAATTAACCGTTTGCACCCGTGTAACGCTTCTCGCCAGAGTGTTTTAAAGAATTATTTTAAAAGAATTAAAATAAATACGATCAGAACCATTTGTAACTGTTTGCTATTAAAAACGTTACTGGAAAAGCAGACTGGATTTGTGCATACCGAAATATTCCTCGAATGCAAAGGGTTAATAGAGAAATAATTGAAATTCGACATACCCATTCACCTGCAAGTTGACCTGCTGCGCTGACAATAGGGTCTGGTCAGTGCACCGCTGTCGATCACGGCAAGGCCGAAGACCCCAACGAAGATCAGCTGATGGTCGGCCCGGTCACTGCACCCGCTTCTCACCCCGAAAACACTTCATAGCACGGTCACTGGCACTTTTCACTTTCACATACCGTTGCGTTCCGTTGCACCCTTCTTCGATTGTTGCCCCTTCCTGGGTTGATGACGGTGTCTGGATGTTGCTCCCTGGTGAATTGTTACTCCTTCCTGGATTGTTGCTTCTTCGATCGGTACTCCCTTCAGGACTGCTGTTCCTGCAAAAAAAGAAAAAAAAACGTGCCTGGCCCCGAAAGGGGCCGATAGGAAGGGTATTTTATTACTGGGATATTTTATTTTTTAATTGTTACTCCGATTGTTATTTCTTTTTTGGCTCCGAAAGGGGTCGATTGTTCCCATGATTGAATCGAAAGCATATTCCTCGTTTGAAATATTTGGTGGCCCCTCGAGGGGGGCCGGTGGGTGTTAGTGGAGGAAAGGTTCGACGTGACCTCCCTCCGCCGCTACGCAGGCCTCGACACGGTTAGCGACGCTCTGTTGCACCCTGCGAAACGTCTCGGGGGTAATGGTCGCCACGGCCACATGAATTCGCACCATCACTGCCTCCTCGATAGTGACGGGGTGCCGGTATACCTCATTCTGCAACAAATAATAGAGGAACGCATTGTTAACAGGAATACGTTAAAGGGTGGGGGGATAAGAAAAAACAATGAACACACCTTCAAGTGCCCCCAGAGGAAAAAATTCAGGGGATTCAAATCCGGGGAGCGAGGGGGCCACGTAGCAGCACCGCCGCGGCCGATCCACCTTACGGGAAAGGTGTTGTCAATATATCGGCGGACATATGTGGCATAATGGGCCGGATCTCCATCAGGCTGGAAAATCATGTTTTTCCGGATTTCTAATGAAATTTCTTCCAAGAGACCCGGAAGAACATATTCCAGGAAGATCTGGTACGCTAGACCGTCCGATCTGCAAGGCAGAAGGTACGGCCCAACGATGAACTCCCCACAAATGCCCGCCCATACATTGACGAACCACCGATGTTGTGCTACGCGTGGGCGAATCACAATCGGATTCTCATCGTCCCCCACGTGTGCATTGTGGGCGTTAAAGCACCCTTCTCTTGTGAAGAGTGCTTGATCCGTCCACAAAACACACGCGGTGAACGACTGATTCCGTCGGATTTCCCCCAACACCCACCGCGAATAATCCACCCGCTAGAGATAATCCCTGGGGAGCAGATGCTGGGCCTGCACATATTTGTACTGGTGCATACCGAAGCGGCGAACAAGCCGGTGCACCGTTGAGCGGCTGACGCTGAAATAAAATTTAAAAGCCATTAATACACGCGAAAATCCATTAGCACTGAGAAACATTTAATTAATTGTACTGTGTGTCTTATCTTGATCTGCGGCTGACCACGCGTACACTAACCGTGCCGTCCCGACAAAACTCTTCCGAGTATCTCGTCCGCCCGTGCCATGGAAATTCGACACGCGCGTCCCGCGTCGTGACGCACGGGTTGTAACGAGCCACTCGAGCGGAGCCGATTCGCAAGCCTGCGAAAGCAGTTCGCAGTCGGAGGGTTTTCGCTGGTATGATCGGCGCGGTACGTGCTGGCAGCTTTCTCCGCGTTCCCCTCGGACTCTGCGAAAACGAAGAACACGCGATAATATTCTGTGTATGTACGTTCCATCGCGTGTGTCCGCTCCTGTTCAGAAACGCGGAGGTTCTGTAAAAAATTTCAATTTCAATAGCTAAGAAACCATTCGATCTTATCAGTTTGATTAAATCAGTTTTATATTGATTATTCGTCCTCATTTATAATGGCAAATCCAGCGCCAAAGTGCAAAGAATGTTAAAGAAAAGTTTTAGACCCAATTACTTGTAATTCTGTCACCCTGGGGTCTTTTAAACTGTGGGCCAATGACGCTTTAGCCGTTACGTTCGTCTATGAGCACGAGCCTTTAGGTAGAAACGGTAGAATTAAATACTTTACCAAAAACTTTATTATATAACAATTATTCGTTTTCTTTTGTACAGCGTGTGTAGCATAGTTCGTTAATAATAAAACAATATTAGGCTATATCTAACGGAAGCGTCGTATAACCACAGACGAGATATACATATGAATAGACCTTTCACCTTATGGACTTTCGCGGCCGAATCTGACTGCCATACCGACCTGAAAATTCTGAGGTGATTTTAGCGGCCTCTTCTCATGGATGGCGGTCAGTTGAAAAACTAGGCACTGAATTAGTATTGATGGGCAGCCAGCTGCAGTGTGTGCGTAAATACATGTGAGTTGACTATGGGGGGAATTGAAAAAGACAGTGCAGTATTATCAGATGGCAGACCCGTGCCCAAAGGGAGCTGCCCCACCACATACACATACTAATGCCAACCACCTTGTATATGAGTTCTGGCGTTTCGTATAGCTTCGTGGATTCGAGAAAGGCGGCGAATGTGAGTCTATCCTTCTTGCTCTCAACACAGCTGAAATTCGATCTCGCATAATCTCGAGCCGAGATTCTCGACTGTCCAGGCATTTTTGACTTTCCGACCTGTGTAGGCATATACAATATATAAGCAATATACCATAATGAAGAAAAAATTACAAAAATTTGTTTTTACGGAAATACACGTTTTAAAACGATAATATTTTATGAACATATTTTAACCCTTTGCACTCGGTTGTCCGCTCTGAGGGGACATGAAAGTTTATTAGTGATTAAGGAGAATGAACTGATTTCACCGCAATTTTTTAAGAAACACATGTTTTCCTGTACTTTCCTATTAAAATGGGAAATATTCTATTAAAATGAGAAATATATCAGCCGTTTTTACGTTGGAAGTGGAAGGATTGTCGAGGATGGTCAGAGGCGTATGGTCGGATTCAAACACGTGGACAATAAACGTAACTATATAAACTATATTATTTAATGTTTACTAAAATTATTTAACATAAAGAACATAAAACGTAAACGTAAAAAACTATAAACGTAAAATCGAAACTTCATTCAAAGTCGAACCATTCCTATTGCTATCTTCGTTATAATCTAAATAAATTAACGTTCTTTGTCGGACAATAGAATGAATAATAAGCTACATATTCCAAATGTAGGCCAAAGAAACCGGGACTGCATTATTTGTTCCGACAGGAAAACACCAGGAGAAAGACGTCAAACAACATTTTATTGTGAAACATGTATAAATCAACCTGCTATGTATATTGGGAATTGTTTCAGAATTTACCATACCATAGAAAATTATGAGAAATAAATTTTTATTTTGTATTGTAAATATGTGTTCTTCAATGTCCATAAATACATATAAACCAAATTTCAACACAATGCCTTACTTGGTTCCAAAGTTGTACCATATATCACAAATATCGCTGTTACTACAATGAATTCTATCTACACTTACGTGCCTGTTATATATATACGACTCGCCGATTGTTGACAAAAAATCTGCAGTATGTATACAACTCGCCGATTGTTTATTGTTTCTATAGATACATCGAGGCGGCCGGCAATGAATGCGTATAACAGCTGTGCTTAAAAACTCGATTTGTGTAGCCGGCCGCCTAACGGCGGCCACGCATTCATTTTCTATTTCAATTTTCTTTATTGATATTATCAGAAGTGGGAAAGATTTCAGCCATTATTTCGACAAATTTAATTATTAGATCATTAGCATGATATTGTCGACGGAAGAAGAATTCACCTAAATAGCCTACATAATGTATTTGGCGAGTTCCATACTTCAGAATATTCGAACCTTTGACAACAATGCAGAACTAGATTTAGCTCGACACATTATACATTATTTGTCGTCGGTTGTCATGCCGACTAATACAAACAAGAGAAAAAAGCAACGATCGTGGACTGATGCAATGCAGAGCCACAGATATGTGCATATAGACAGAATTCATTGTAGTAGTAGCGATATATTTGAAGAAAAATCTCGGAAACTAAGGCCGAGCGGCGGTTATATGTATAGGAAAAAGTTGCTCAAAATGTTGATTTCTACAACATATTCAAAAATCATCGAAATCGGTGAGACCCGGCCTTTTCTAAATAATTACCTCATTTTCTTTCAATAATTCTCCATTGCAAAAATTCTACAGTATTCTTACATTTTTTTATATTTTAAAATTTTCCCATGTTATTAGAAAGTAGATATACAACGAAAGTTATACAATTTATAGTTCCTAGCATGTATAACATGTATATGTATATGTATAACGCATGGTCGCTTCGTATGGAAAGTCAATGAATCTTCAAAAAGCGCCCAGGTCCGATTTCGAGAAATGTAAGGTCTGTCAGTCACGATGGCTTTTGTCGTTTACTGACGATTCGAACGGTTGGCGATGCCAGGCTTGCTTTCGAGAAATGTAAACGACGTCAGCGATGCAAGAGCGAGAAGGAAAGCGAGTATCAGCCTGTTCTTCTCGGCTCTTCCGAAACTCAACGAGCTCACGTACACGCAATTGAGCATAGTGTGCGAAAGCGAGGAATAAGGAGTTTCCGGGGCCCCGATGCACAGTCTGATTAAACTGATTTCGAGTCGCAAATACGTTTCTGCAGAGTTATTTTTTTAATAAATGATGTACAGTTTAAAATAAAAAATAGAGAATTTGCGGTGTACTTACGTATCAATGATATACATCCTTATGAATTTTAATAATCTTGAAATTTTTAAATACTCTTAATCGATTGATTTCTCCAATGAAATTAATCGATTAATGTCCAATGATGGACCCTACAGCTTTAATTCCGTTAAAAAATAATAAAATTTATGTAATTTTATTTTCTGTCTCACTTCCTCTTGTGTTAATTTCTGAATCTGTTGATAACGTAGCGAGTGACACGAAAATGGTAATGGGGTCCCGGGACCCCAGAAACTCCGGCCGAAAAATTACATTACGTGAAACGTCTATTCATATATCTCGTCTGTGGTGTAACTATATCCCCAACTGTCCGCTCGATATGCTAGGGCCACAACGTTACCATCCCCAGCGGCATCTACCAGCTAGTGAACCTATTGATAACGTACCTAACAGTCCGTCGCAACCTACCTTACCGGAGATCATAGACGAATCGAAGGATTTGTTCCGCTTGGAACTTTTAAGTTTCCGATTAGATTTTTTAGTGGAAATAATATATCAGTTATCCAATCTACAATCTACATTGGATGAGCACTAAAATAAAACCACAAAAGTAGAGGATGGCTCTCATATTAACTCATGAATTATTTATTTATTTATTAGATAAATACCCTCGCAATATTTTCGGAAGTGGGATAAGGGCTAAAATTAGTTAGTGAGTACCAGTTTAAAAATGAGTGCGTGTTTATTTTCTAAGATGAAGCCCATACAAGAATGTACCTACGTGGTAGGATCAAAAAATATTTTAAGGGAAACAGCATTATCGACATCAGGGAATAAGACAGAATTAATAAAATGTTTCAAAGACGTAGACCCTCGTGAAAAGTGGAGGTCACAATTAGTGGGCAACATGTAAGGAATTTCCATTTCATCGGACACAAATTTAAAAATGGTTACAACATTACATTTTTTGGATGTAAATAGTAAATTTAAGGCACTTTTAAGAAGAGAAAGGTCATTAAGAAGGCAAGAACTTGAATTATTGCTATGTGAAAATGAAGTGTTAAAAACAAATACATCGTCGTCCTGGTAAAAGAAATGTGAGATCGCGTGTGAATATAAAATCTGTTTCTAAACTATTGACTGATTTTGAGGACGAAGATCAAGATTTTGAGCAGTAGGAGAGGCAACTAAAATTATATTTTAATTTGTTATGTGTTACAATTTTAATTTGTACGCAGCTTAAAGGCAAAGCACAACTATCTGAATCTAGCTTAAATGTTCTGTCCCATAAAAATGATGTATAATTATCATCCTAACATATGTGATTTACGGAAAAAATTTGAAGCACAAAGTTCGTAGAAAGGAAAAATATTTTATGATTATTATCATGAAAAAATCATCGTGGCCAATCGTATATCAGTTCCTGATGAAGCTATCCCTGATCGACAATTAAGGAATCAGAACTATATCAGAACTATTAAAAGCATTTAGAAAAATTGATCTGTTAGAAAAAACAAAGATTTCAATAAAAACTGAAAAATCTAAATCAAAAGTGAAGGATGGAAGATGTACTCAAGAGAGACGTACACAATGGAGCAGAGGGAAAAAGACGTTGGCATTATCGAAAATGCAGAAAAACGATTTCCAAAAAAAAGTTACCTATACAACCAGCGATCAAAATGTCAGATATATTTTACATTTTAATACGTTATATCGGTAGTCCAATAAGTTTCATTAAAGAACAATTTGTGAAAAATATTAATTTTCGCAAAATTGATAATAATTTTCATATACATATGTTAAATCTAGAACCGACCAAGAGTGAGAATTATATTAATTGTGAAGGATTTATGAAAGGGAGTACCTGAAAATGTTATGATGATATTACACAAAGTATGAAAAGATGATGAATGCGAGAAACACAATTGATAAGTACAATACGATTACTTTATCCGCACGCGGTTAGAAGACGACTGACAAAATGGCCGTGAACTTGGCCACCACGAGGTAACGATCGACAGGCCCATGATCGATGCGCGCGCATGTCAATCATGAGCAGATGCCCAATTTCGCCATTGAGCGCATCTTTCTTTGAGCTGATGAGCGCGACGATCAACATTCCCATCGCGCACAAAGCGTGCCTGACAGGTGCTGCCATTGAATTTGAATGAATAGAATGGAAAATATTAATAATGGGTAGGATCTTGTTTCTTCCCGTTTAACTCAAAAATGCGACTGTGCATACTCGTGATTAGCCTCCTCAAAATTTCTTCGTTAATTTCATTACACGATTCACTTGTAGCTTCTCCAGGACGTTAAATAGGAAGTAATAATATAATGTCTTCTCTCAACTTATTAATTTTTAAGATTAACTATCTTTTTCTTAAACTAACTCCTCTGTCTTTTCAGTCAAGACAGACCTTTCTAATCATTTTAATTTTCACTAATTAAAACTTTATTTTTATTAATAATTGGGAATTTGTACAAACATTCATGTTTTTCGGAAACTGATGGTGATACAATAATTTTACTTACGAGAGACTCTACAAGGATCACCCAGTGCATGTTGCAAAAAAAGGAAACATTAAAATTTATTTGACAGCATTATTAAATCTTACAATCTTAATCCAAACCTTTTCTAAGAGTTAGTAATATTAGAAGAATTGATACATGGTTGGAATCAGGCTATTTTGCAGACCAGCTATCCGTGGCGCAGGAAGTCAGAGGCAATATTACTATAAAAGTGAAGAATGAATCTCGTGGATTTCACTTAAACAATCTCAGTTATGCTGGACCTATAGTGATGGGCGTAGGAGGTAATAATATTCGCCATTTTTATATTACTATAACCACTCAAATCCTAATTTCTATCTTCGATTATGATTCGACAAATTATAAAATTGAAATCAAATTAAAATGATTTTAAAAAAATAAAATAACATTCACTTTTTATTTATTAATAAAATTTCAAAATATTCGTAAAGAACCTAAAATAACATACATTTTCCAATTTGTTATACGTACATATTGAATTATATATGAAAACAGAAAAATAAATGCAACTTTTAAGTATTAATTCCAAAAAGGCAAATAGAAATAATTTGGTTCGTAAAAGAAAAATTGTTTATTTGACACACAATTATTATCTAAAAAACACAAGCTTAGAATCTTTATTTAAAGAAGAAAAAAAAATAATAAAAATGTAGAGAAAATTGAATTTTAATCTTGAATACAGATTCCGAAAAATCGAATAAAAATAGTTCAAATCGATTAAGATAAAATATTTAAGTAATATTCCATTGTTGTAGAATGAAAACGAACATAATCGACGAAGAAAAAAAGAAAAAAAATGACTTGCCCCCAGAGAGATTTGAACTCTCGACCCCTGGTTTACAAGACCAGTGCTCTAACCCCTGAGCTATGGAGGCTCACGCTTGAAACTTACATAATAGTGTATATAAAGCGTCTTATAAATATTCATATTTTTTTCTATACTAAGCATCGAAATTAACAAACAAACCAATAATGACTAATTCGATCTTAATCTAATATTAAATAATTTTCCAATTTTATGAGAATTTAAACTTAGAAAATGGCTTAAAACTTTCTCGAAAATAATTCGAACGCCGATTAATAGGTTTCTAATATGGTCCAACTATCCAACTATGTGAAATATCGTGTTTCCCAATGCTAGTCCGAATAAAGTCACGGATGAGATATCTCGCGACGCGATTATTGTCTCACGCCATAGCTCCGTTATCGATATAATTACGAATAAATGCCAAAGGGAAAAGATGAATGCCTAGAAGAGATCTACGTTCGTACGAGTTCGATTTTTTTTTTAACGCGAGGGTGCGTGTGCAATTGGTTGTCGCGCAATTTTTTTGAATGAAAACGCAAATTTTTTGCAATGCCCGTCGATTCTTCCAGCCATTCCGTATAGAAAATTATTAAGACACTATGACGAAAAGGTTATTAGTTCACGAGATTTTCCATCCGTGGCGTCGAAAAAATAATAAGTCGAACCGATTAATATTAAATAATTAATGGTTCTGTGAAAAACGGGTTAAGAGACTGAAATTTGTCAGGGTTCATTGTGGTGGCAGCTTGCGTAATGACCTTTGAAGCCCGCGACAACGCTGCCAAAGTGGTCCCAGCGCGATTTCGTTTCAATCAGCCGTCGACCATAAAGAGCATAAGAAACCAACGTAATCGAAGATCGATTTCTAGTCAAACTACGAAATGGGATCATCAACTAGGCGTGTTTAGGATGAATAGAAGTCCCAGCCCTAGCATACACGAGGTCCTCAGGAAACAGTTGACGGCGGAGTTCATGCAATTCTCGAAAGAAATAAACGAGAAACAGGCCGGACACTCGATTAAGAAAAGTCCCAGCGCCCCAACTTTGGTGGAGAAAAAATCGCCGAGAAAAAGGACGACTAAATATGCTGGTTGCGCTTTGTTGAATCCTGAATTATTGCAGAGGCATGCTCTATCCGTTGACAATCCTAGCTATAGTAATTATCAGGTATGAGCACTATTTTATTTTTCCTTGTATGTTTTTTCTTTTATACAGAAATTAAACATTTTCTTAGGGGAAAATATTCTTTGAAATTTGGAAGGAACGCCTATAAGAAGATCAGTAGAAATATTTCTATTGTTTTTATTTCACTCTGTAGTATACAATCACTAAAACTGAATAAAATACTATTTTTTTTATTTTATATTGTATATTTAGTTTTAGAAAAATTAAACCTTTTTGTTTGGAAAACATTCTTTTAAATTTCGTATGTATTCAACGCTTCTTAATGTTTTTATTGTAATAAATTGAAGATCATCTTTATTTTATTTTTAATTTATAAAATAAATTTAATTTACAATTGTTGTTTTCGAAACTTCTTCAAAGACGTAGTTATTAAACAAAGATGAAGTATTGTATTTTACAGTTTGAACTATTAAATAAAATATTCCATTTCACGCTTGAAATTGCAAAAATAATATATTTTATTATATGTAGATTCAAATTCTTTCAATGTCGCATATTTAAATTTTGTATTCAAAAATGACCTGAATTTATCATGCTGTATGTATTGTTGGGCTTTAATATAGCCTACAATTAATATTTAATTCATTTAAACAAAGGTAGGATAAAAATGACAGTAAAAAAAAATAAATTTTAATTTTTCTAAAATGGAAAAATTATTTTCAGAATTTTTAAATCGAACTAGGCGCTTAATCAGCTAATTTCCAAGAAAATGGCCTCTATACAGCCATACCTCGGACTTACGTTCTAATTGGTTCCAGGAATAGCCGACGTAAATTGAAAAATACGTAAGTCGGGGTAAATAAAATGTAAGCTACACATGTACATACTACGTGTTTATTGCAAATATACATATACATACACATTTATTTAAATTTCATATATTACATTTTTATTTATTAATTCTTATTAATATATTCTTTTTTATTAATAAATAAATGATTAATAAATTTCGACATTAATATCCGACGAAGCTTCTTCCTTTCATGTAAAATGTCTTGATAAGGTACAAACAATTGGTTTGCTCTATTTTTAACCTTTGATGATCTTTCTTCATTTGGATCAATATTTTCAAAACAGACCTAACCCTTCCTGCAATTTTAAAACAGTCATAGTTTTTTCTGGATATATTTCTTCAAGTTTTTCAAGCATTACTGTCTCAGATGCAGATTGATTTCTAATTTAAATAAGATCATCAAACAGCAGCTGTGGCTACGTATTAACGTTATAACGTTGCTTATGGGGCTATTGCTGACTAGATTGCTGCTTTTTAGGTCCATTTTGTGATTTTTTTTTCAATGGTAGATAAGCTATTTTGTATCGAGATTTTTCAGATTTGTTTACTTATCTCATAAATATGTAAAGTATTTTTTCATCGAAAAATATTAAAAATTTTGGTTATTATAACTTGTTATTTAATGGCTCTTCTAAAACGATGCTCCAATTGCTCCCATAGTTCCAGCCAATCCGCTAATCTGATACAGAGAGAAAAAAAGTATCTTCATTAGGAAGGGTGTACTTATAGCAGGAACTAGGGAGAAGACAAAATTTCGATGATAACATTCAAAATTTTTAAAAATCTCTAGTTTCTGTGATACAAGCGTATCTGTTGAAAATTCTCTTCAAATATGAAGAAAATCGGTCAACTATATCTTGAGATATCTAAACTTTGCATATCTCAGAAAACACAGCAGAGTCTAATTGTTGAAACAAATGTAAATCAGAACGTAAATCGGGGTATGACTGTACACTTTTAAAAACATATTAAACATTTCTCAATATAACGATTGAAAAAATTTTACTTAATTTCCTGAAAGAGAATTCAAAATTCCCACTGTCGACGATCATTTTCTAATATGGCGGACCCCCTTGGATTCTTACTATGTTCTAAATATTTCACGAACATTATTAACTATTTATAACCAGTAAATAATAAGAGAAATTTTAATGCTTGTAAAAATTATTATAATTAAAATAGGTTAGTTGGTAAAGCCTGGGGCGGCCATTTTTCAATAGGATGTACCCCTTGAGAATCTTTCGATACGTTTTGTTAAGTTTTAACGATTTTACCAATATTATTATTAATGTTTTACAGTTTAAAAAATTTCGTGATTGTTTTAATGGTTGTAGAAAATTACTATGGTTCAATTAGGTTAGTAGGGAGAGTCTGGAGCAGCAGAGGATGGGCGGGAGCCAGGTTTCAATGGCGATGGATTTGCATATTCCAAACAAAGGCCCAGTTACGCTAAAAATTAAAGATAGATCAGACACTTCGAGACGCCATCAGCTACTTCGACAAACTAAGGTCGAATATGTGGAAGAATTGGACGAATTACGATCCCCCGTCAGTCATTCTTCGTCTAATTCCCCAGGTAAGCCATAGTGGATTTATTGTAAAATTTGAAAAACATTTTGATCTGGAACTTTTTTCGGAGAAAGGAAATAGAAATTCTTTGGATGGTCGACATTTCGAAGATTTGGCCTCGAAGGAGCTGACGAAAATATCACGCAAAATGGCAGCATCGAGCTTCCTGAGAATGTCCGTCGATAAGGCAGGTAATGACAGGAGGGTGGAGAGATCTATGGGAAATCGAAAAGCTAGTTTGGAGTTTAGAAGAAGCCCTGATTTTAGGAGAGGGGATTATAGGTAATTTTTAATCATACTTTCAACAGTATAATTCTAAAGGAAAGTTTATAATTATTAAAAATTCATAACTTCAATTCGAAAGGAAAAATTATAAATGCGAGAGAGTAATTGTTAAATAATTTTAAAATTATGAATCTTTTCGGAGGAATTTAATTTAGGAAAATGAAAATTGATTTAGAAATTAATAAGCGAAATAGTATAATTAATCATTCAAAATAATTGTTAAATTATAATTGAGCAAATTTAAGATTGAAAAATGAAAATTTGTTTAGAAATTAAAAGACGTTTTCGCTAGTATACTTCATTGAATAAACATATTTAATAAAAATTGATATGATAATATCTCTTTTTCAGCACAAAATTAATAATAAAAACTCTAAAATGTTATTAAATAATTTGTTTTAGGAAATTATCAGTGGACAGATTTAGTGTTGACTGCACTAAATATTTCCCCGAGGAACTGAGTATTAGATCAAGGACGAGCAGTGGTGAAAACTTGAAAAAACATCGTCAACCGAAACTCTACCAATCGATTTCCGATGACAATAAACGACAATTGTTTAGAAATAGGAAAGATGATAACTCGAGTAGACATTCTTTAAACACACAGGCGGTCATCGAGAGTGGTGGATCTGATTTTGAGTTCAAGTATTACGCAGAAACGTCGTTGGATACCGAAGAAAGTCGAGCAGACTATTCCGATGAAAGTCACGTGACGGATTTCGAAGAATCGGCCGGCATCGCTGCGTCTGAGGGGCCTTTCGAAGCTCATGCTTTGCTCGAGGAACCAGAATTAGAGAATCTTCAGGAAAATAACAGAGAAAGCAAGAGGAACAGCTTAATTTTGGATAATCGTATAATTAAGAAGCAATTCATGAAACCGGATAATTTTGGCAAAGAAAGTTTTGATGATTTTGTGAGAAACGAAGAGGAAAATATGCAAATGGTAGGAGATATTTGAAATGTGAACAAATATGAGATTCGGTGCCAAAAATGGGTGAATTATGGTTAGAAAAATTTTTGGAGAATAATTTTTTATTAGGGAAACTTTTGGAATTGAAGGCGACGGCCACCACTGACCGTCACTATGATGGGGTTTTTTTCAAACGCTCACAGTGAATAAATTGGAATTGTTTTTGAAATTTTGAATAATGGTAATTTTACTGGGAAGACTGTGAATTGATCGATTAGCCATCGGAATGTTGAATTTTTTAATATTGGTATGAGAAATTTTGAAATTTTTTAAACGCTCAATGTAAATAAATTCTAATATTTCTAAACCTTTAAATCGTATTCATTTGCCAAAAATACCAAATTTTAGGGTCAATTAAATTTCAAAAAATAATTCTTTTCGAAATTTCGCAAATAATAATTATACAAAATTACTTCCTACGAAACATATTTCTCCAGCTGATCATCATTTTTCCCCGTTAATTTCACGTAATTACCATAATTCAAAATGATATGAATTACATATAAACTATTTCGAAATGTTAAAATCGATGTCAGACTTGTATAATTGTAGATTTAGTGAATTTTGTACAGTTTTCAGATGGTAAAAGAGAAAACTTAGCAAACGTGACAATCCAATTAACGTCGACCGAGTCGAACGTTGTTTTTTTAAATAAAAGGCTTAACTAAATAAATAAATAAATCTATTTTTATATCTCTAGCACAGCTTTATTACGCTATCATTAGACACTATTGAAAAATTCCTCTCTAATATAAAATAATGTGGTCGTTCAACGATACTTGCTATACTCTAACACTGTCCTAAAACGTGCAAAAATGTAGGAATCTTCTTTACTATGATTCACACTCGAAGAATTAACCATAAGTAGCCAATTAAGTCTCATTTTCTCCCACGACATTGGTACTAAACATTGTTAACAAAAATACTCCTTAAAATGACGGTGGTTCTCCAAAAAAATCACGTCAAGGGAATTTAAGTCGGACCAATAATTATTACAATACTTAATTTTAAAGACTAAAATTTATTATTACAAAACATTATTAAATAATTATGAAAAATTTCGAAATAATTACTCTATGCCGCATAATAAATTTTTTTGAAGATAAAACTAAATTTACACTTATATTTACGTTAGTGATCATTGGTGTTAGTCAGCAGAAAAAAAATTTCTAATATTCGTTGGAAATTTTAAATAATCACTGTTTATTGAAATTATTTCTTCTATTTGTTTTATTATATTATTTCTTTATTATTACAGTTTTTAAATAATACATTTTGGTCTTCGAGTAAAAATTATAATTGAGAAACTGTCAACTAAATATTGGACATTGTTATAATAATAACAATAAGAATAATAATAATAATAATAATATATACGGTTAAAAAACGTAGTTAACAAGAAAAACATAATCAAACTGTGATGAAATCGTAAATAAATAAGAATCGATAGTGGCAAGGATTATCGTATAAAAAATCCCCAAATTATAACAACCATAAGTGTAAATAATTCGAAAACTCTTGGAATACAAGATTCAATTTAAATTTAAGCATTGACAAATTTGTAATCGAGTATTTTAGACCCCAATTTTATTATTTGGATGGAAAAGTTGTCTATTAAAAATGAAAATAATTTTCATTGAATTAATTATCATCATACTAATTAATTTGATTTGAAAATAGAGCACTAAAAAACAAATATTATTTATACAAAATAATTTCCAGTCGAAAAAATAATAAGTTTGGAAATCTTATAATAGAAAATACTATAAAAATGTATTTCAAGAGTATTTTCTAAAGGACTGATGCTGGAAAAAGAGCAATTATAGTCGTAATCTTAATCGTGTTTAGCAAGAAACGCCTATAGTTGTAAGATTCTCGAGTCGATGTAATATTTGCATGTTAATTGTTGTGAAATCTCAATAAAATTGCTATGATAACACTTTGTGTCTATACACTCAATTACGATCCATTTAGCCCACAATTCGAATTGGAAAAGAATCGAAACTGGATTTAATCGACTTGTGAGGCTTGTGAGGCTGGTTTCCCTAAAAACGTCTCAGATATTGAATATTCAAAACTTTAAAACGTTCGAAAGTAATATTTTTCGTCTTCTAGCCTCGTCGAACAGTTCAATTACTATGATTTCAATTGGTTTGTCACGTATTATTAATATAATTATAATTAAATTAGAGCCCAGAAAACTATTTAAAAAATATTATTTTATCCACACATTGTATAAATTGTACATGTACAGGGTGTTCGACTACTCCTGGGAAAAATTTTAATGAAAAACTTTAGAGGCCGAAATAAGACGAAAATCAATAATACCAATTTGTTGATTAAGGTTTCGTTAAAAAATTATTGTTAAAAATTATTAATAAAATTTGTCCACCTACAAGAATTTTTTTCTCGAAAATGGTTAGGAATTCGAGGATATGTCTATTGACCAACAATGATTATAATTGATCCCTGCAACCGAAAATAATTTTTCCAGAACGATTGAAAATTTGTTAATTTCGCTGAAAAATTTTCTGGTTTATGGAACAATCAACAAATTGGTATTCTTGATTTTCGTCTTATTTTGGCCTCTACAATCTCCCATTAAAATTTTCCCCAGATGTGACCGGGCACCCTGTATACAATTTCAACCTATTCAGCTTGCAATTCAACTTGTAAACCCCAAAACCAAAGCTTCTAAACTCAATGCATTAAATTGACCTTGCTTTTTGGGCTCACTTTCTCAAATACGATCAATAAAGTCACAAAATAATTTTTCTCACAAATGAGTACCACCTAAAAATGGTCTAAATCTCCTTTCCCACATTCTCCCAAAATCGCTCGGCACCATGGAAAATCAAATTCATATAAAAAAAGAATTCTCTTTAGTTCTTGGGCCAATTTTCTCCAATTTCCATATTTTAAGTTCACAAAACAATTTTCTTTACGCTAAAATCACTTAATATCGTCTAAATTTTCTCACATTCTCCCTAAAATCCACAAGATTCCATTCGCAACCAAGCAAAACCAAAAAAATTCATTTCGAAATCAAATGTTTCAATTTTATACTCTGCGGATATTAAATCTCCATTGGTAAGACAGATTCCATTGTTCGTGGAGTGGAGAGTCGGCCGCCAGCTGGTGGGTAAAATTCATTTCGAGTTCCTGGGCAAGTGAAAGATGGCGGGAACGTGCGAGAAAGAGATTCGTCGAAATTATGATCGGAACAAGGACAGAAATGGCGGCCGACGGCACTAAACTCGTTGAAACAACTTGCTCGGTTCGAGCAGTGATCCGCTGGACGCCATACTAACCGCGTGCGATCATGCTCTAATCATAAACGTACCAATTCTAACAAATATTTTTGTTTAAAATGTTTTTTTATAATAAATGTCGGTAAAAACCTAATCTAAAGTGAAGTTATGGTTGTTTATCGACAGAAAAAATTGTGAACTGGCCTGAGAAAAAGAAAATGACGTCGGAAAAATTCCACAAGTGAGTTTCCATTCCCTATGAACAGATTTTCAATGGAATTTTAGAGTTTCGTGATCTTTCAGTGACTTTTGTGTGGTTTTTGTAGGGTTAGACACAATAATGTTAAAAGATTGTGTCTGGCTGACACTGGGGGATTGCGTGTTCGATTGTATGTTTGTGTGGAGTGGGTGGAGGGGGAATATTATGTGGCTAGTTTATCATGAAAATAAAGAGTTTGGAGTTTAAAATGTAAAATTATGGGAGAGATTGGATTTTAATGCTTGAATGGGAAAGGTTTTTGGGTTTTTGTTTGGACAATTTTTGGACCTTTCATTAGAATTTTTTGTTTGGTTTCGGGTTACGTTGTGATAATTGGACGGAAAATTGAATTTGAGCTAAAGAAGATGCATTTGGGACTTTGTTGGAAATTTGATAAGCAAACTTATTGAATTTGAAGTAATATTAACTAATTTATTGTGAACTTTTTAATGTGGGAAAAATATAGGACACAATTGATTGATTTTTACTGAATTTCAAACAGTAATTAAATATCATTAATATAGTATTAATAATTAATGTTTTTTTGTTATTTTTGGACAAATATTAAAAGCAATTATTTTGTAATGTACATCTCGTTGTTATGACTGATAGAATATAATTTAATTGATAAATCGAGAATCTAATTTCTTTCAAAATTCCTAATCAAAATTAATTAACTTTAATATCCCACTATTCGAATCAATATTTTTCAAAAATATTGAGAGTTTCAGAAGAAACTGTTCACCTATCAAAAATTTCCATTCAATAAAGAACGATTACAAAAATTAATTCCGCCACTAAAAATAATTTAATAATAAACTATATTTCGTCTAAACTTTTCTAACCCTTACAAAGTTAATCATTCCTTAGAATTATAATTGATTATAAAAAAATAATAATCTTTTATAAATATATACTAATCAAGAAAGTTATCTTGGTTTGCTATTAATAATCGAACTAATTGTCATGGTACTTTCCTTCGATCATGTTCTCTAGCTCGGTTATGTCAAAACGTGTTTATAGCAAATTAGAGAGAAAATTATCATGTAAAGTACTCGTTAAAATATTATTCATACTTTCTCATTTGCTCTCTACCGCCACTTTACAAATCCTAATTAATTCTCGAAGCCTTTAAAAACCAATAAAATTAATAAACAATAACATTAATTAGTTAAACAAATTATAACACATGCGGAAAATAAATTTTGAAAAATGATAGTCGATCGGAATTATTTTTTGGAGAAAAATATTAATTTAAACAATAGAACTGAGAATTAAATTTGAGAAAAATATAATAAATAATAATAAAATTAATTGTATTTCAATGAATTTATTTAGTTTTGTGATTGGATATCCAATCTTTGTAACAAATTTCCAAATCTACAATTTTTCAAATTGAGGAAAACTCTTTTAAACTATTTTTTAACATTGGTATACATTATAAAATGTCGAAATTTCGTGGAGAAAAAACGATTTACTAATTCTTAGGAAGGTTTTTGAAAAAAGAAACTTCGATCTTCGAATTCAATGTTTTTTGTTGAAGAGAAAAGTTTTTGAAGATTCCAGAAGCCGTTCGAATTTTACAAAATGTTTTTAGAAAAACCCATCTCAATTGCATATCGTATAATTAATTTTAAACTGTTAATAAATAATTTAAAAAAACGCCGTCACATTTTATAATTTTCCTTTTTCGTTATCAAAATTTGTTAAAACCTATTGCAAAAAATGGTTAACAAATATTTCCAAAATAGGGGATATAGTTCCAGAGAATATTTTCCTCTTAATCAAAATATTTTCAATTACAATGCCAATTTCAAAATTAATAATTCGTGAATTAATTGAAATATTAGTAACAATTAATTGTTAAAAATACTAAAGATTGTTTAATCAAATTTTGTTTCAAGATTGTCCTGTACTTTCTATGTAAATAAACAAAAATTGTTTTCTGTCTTTGAAACCTTTCGATGATAAATATTAAATAAATAATAGATAACAAATTAAAAGAACTCCCAAGAAACTTAACAATTATAAAAATTTGTCCATTAAAGTAATTTTAACAACGTATAAAAATTAACTCCTGGATTTGTTATTAACAATATGGAACTGCTATTCTAATCTGTTTTAATTTAAATGTCGCAGTTTTGCTAATTTTAATAATTTCGAAAAAATATGAGTACATATTTAGCAAAAATGTGTTTCAGAATTGTATCTCCTGTTCAAAATGAGAAGTTTTTTTGGGTAAAATTGCTCGTTATTTACAGAGCTGCACGAGATGGCGCCTTGGATATTTTAAAAGAAGCAACAAAAAAAGATTGCAACGTCAGAGACGATGGCGGAACGACCCCGACACTATGGGCAGCTTTTGAAGGTCATATAGACGTCCTTCGACTGCTCGTTGCCAAAGGGTACACCAACAACCTAATTAATTATATTAAAACTCAACGTATTTAAATTTCAATCAAAACTGATGCTCGAAATATCGAAAACGCTCACAATTTTTGAATTGTACCCTTAGACAAAAAGAAAGCACATGTATGCTATCATTTAGTTCATGAGAATAAACTAAGAATTCTTTAAATTTTACGAATGATGCGTAAATATCGTCACATGGTAATGTATTACACAGGGTGTTCGGCCAACTCTGGGAAAAATTTCAATGGGGGTTTCTAGAGACCAAAATAAGACGAAAATCAAGAATACCAATTAATTGATGGAGGCTTCGTTAAGATGTTATGAACGTTTAAACTTCTGCCCGTACTGAATTTTTTTCTCGAAAATGCGCAGGATTTCGGGGGTATGTTTATTCACCAAAAATGATTGTAATTGACCCCCGCAACCGAAAATAATTTTTCCAGAACGATTTTAAATTTTTTAATTTAATTATTAATAACTTTTTAACGAAGCCTCCATCAACAAATTGGTATTCTTGATATTCGTCTTATTTTGGCCTTTAGCCTCCCATTAAAATTTTTCCCAGGGATGGCCGTACACCCTGTATAGCGACATAATAAAACTATGCTTATATTTATCAAGGAAAATATGTTTTAGTATGTTTCTACACTTTAAGTCGTGCAAACATAAGGAACAGTAGACATTCAACTTTAACAAAATGTCTAATATTTATTTAAAAAAAGAAGAGACATGGTAAGAAATTAAACAGCGACGATGTAAAAGTGATCTTGCAATTAAGAAATGAAAATTGTTCAAAGGCGAATAGAGCAAATTATCACAAAGTTATATTCGTAAATTGTTCAATTCTTTACTAAAAAAAATGATCGAAGTAATTGTAAATAAGGGCAGACTTAGACACTATTAAAATATAAAGTGTTCCTTCAATCGATGTTATTTTTCTTACACAAATATTTAATTTCCATTAAATAAAAAGCTTCATTTATTAATATGTGCTGTCATTTCAGCGACCCCTTTCACATGACTTTTGACGATGAAAACAAGTACAGACTGTATAGTTTGAAATTATCGCTATAATATATTATCATGAGGCGATGTTTACGTATCATTCGTAAAATTTTAAAAATTCTTAGTTTATCCTCAAGAACTGAATGATAGTGTATGTTATCTTTTATCCAGGAGTGTACTATAGAGTTCATATTCTTACATTCAATTTTGTCAAATTCCTTTTCACAGCCAGAGAAAGATAAAAAAAAGTAAATATGATGTTTTCCAAAAATATGAAAGAAGTTTGAAGTGGAATGGCATATATACTAAATTTGGGGAGGTTTTTGGAAAGAAAATATTTCACCTTTCAAATTCAAAGTGGTTTCACTTGCCGGAAATAATTTTTGAAGATTCCAAAAGCCCTTTGAATCGTTTTTAAATATTTTTGAAAACACCCATCTTCATTTTTCCCATAATTTTCTAGGCGTGGAAAGGTATTTGGGAAAATTTTATTTAAATATCTGAGAATATATGATCCCGTCTTTAAAATGACACCACAAACGTTGTACTACGATCATTTTTCACGAAGTTATGGCAGTTCAAATATTGTGAGCCTTGACAGATGCGCGAAACCGGAAGTGGACGCCATAATCTTGCATCGATCGTCGCCACGAGCGGAAATCGCGACCATGGGTGCACTGATGGAACAAAATCGAAAGCGAGTGGAACAAAACACGGCGGGGAAAAGAGAGAATAAAAGAGAGGAATCGTCACTTGTACAGTCAATCCAAAATTTAATCATTCTACTGCAAAAGGAAACATTTATTTACTCTGTTTGCGAATATTACGATCAAAATTTTTGTCGAAAAATTGACAAAACAACCCACATCATTATTTAATAATTGATTTAAGGGTTACGAAAACATAATTTTTTGGTAAAAAAAACATCGAAAATGGAAAAAACCTTGATAAAAATCATGAAATCCAGTCAATTCTCGGTAACTTCTATACCAAGTATAGTGACGGTTCAATAACCAGTGCAAAATTTTGTTTTGCGTTGTATCATCATGTAATTGATAGATATACATACAGGGTGTTCGGCCACCCCTGGGAAAAATTTTAATGGGGGATTCTAGAGGCCAAAATAAGACGAAAATCAAGAATACCAATTTGTTGATGAAGGCTTCGTTAAAAAGTTATTAACAATTAAATTCTAAAATTTCAAATCGTTCTGGAAAAATTATTTTCGGTTGCGAGTGTCAATTACTATCATTTTTGGTGAATACACATACCTCCGAAATCCTATCCACTTTCGAGACAAAAATTCGAGAAGGTGTAAAATTTTTCGACGGAAAAAAAAACTTCAAATCGTTCTGGAAAAATTATTTTCGGTTGCGGGTGTCAATTATAATCATTTTTGGTGAATAGACATAGCACGGAAATCCTGCGCAGTTTTGAGAAAAAAATTCAGTGCGGGCGGAACTTTAAACATTAATAACTTTTTAACAATGTCTCCATCAACAAATTGGTATTCTTGATTTTCGTCTTATTTTGGCCTCTAGAATCTCTCATTAAAATTTTTCCCAGGAGTGGCCGAACATTCTGTATATTGGAAACGTATGGTTTGACAAACTATAGTAAGTTAATCCTAACTTTCGAGGCAAGGATAGTTTTTATATACTACTTTAATGATTTTAGATCAAACACTATGATTTTCTGTTTGGAAAAGGTGTTGTAATCAGAAAAATAAAAAGGTGCCTCGGTAAAGTCATGAAATCTAGTCCATTTGATGACTTTTATCGAGTATGTTGGGGCAATTTCGATAGAAAAAAGGAAATATTTGCCCAAAAATTGAACAAAATGGATCAAAAATGATCTAAACTTATTCTTGGACGAAAAAATTTTTAATTATTTATTGTTAAACAATGTTTACCGTAGAGGTGATCCGGATAGAAGTGACTATTTCGGAAACACGGCCCTCCATCTTGCAGCGGCGAGAGGTCACGAATATTGTGTCAAGTTCCTCGTGAAATTCGGTTGCAATATTTGGTCTCTAGACATCGACCGACATTCTGCGAGGGATCTAGCTGCCATAAACGGGAGGGAGATGATTTTGCAATACTTGGATCTCGCCCAGGCCGACCAGGAACTCAACAACCGTAAAAAAAGTCGAATCTTAAGAGAAAAGGCTGAAAAAGACGCCGAGAAAAGGTATTCTTTTAACTTGTAAACTAATATTCGATTGTTTGATAAAAAAAATGTCTTAGTTAAGATTTTTTTACACGAATAATTCTTGCAAACCATTTCGTATTTCAGGCTAAAGGAGTACATGAAGAAGCAGAAAATGGCGGAAAAAGAACAGAAGAAGTCGAAAGATCGAACGAAATCGGACTTGACAATTACAAACGAACCTTTTCCACCTCAAAAGCCTGGAATTTTAACGTTCAGGGGTCGCGTACGACCTTCCCCGACCTTCAGTGACATCGTAGGAACGGCTGCGAAGAAAAATGGTGGCGCAGTGTATAGAAAAGCCCTAGCAAAAAAGGCTGTCGACGATTTCAAAGTCGTAGAAGTAAAAATCTCGCCTTCCCCGGGCCGCCATCTTCTTTAACAAACTAAAATTCACCTAAACGATAAATTTTAAACATCAATGGAACAATCTGCCTTGATTTAACCGTGGAATAATATGATTGTTAAATAGACAGAAATCGTTTAAATAATTTTTATTTGATAAAATTCTTTCAAAATGCGAATAGGATTTGCATTTGCAGGTGGAGACGAACGGAAAGAAGTCAATTCGCAGCCTGACAGGCCTCAGGAAGGATTCTGACGTGATGTACGTGGGGACTTACGAAACACAGGCCCAGCAAATAGGAAAAAGAGGGAGGATTTCCGATGTTTGGGGAAGTTTGAGCAAAGCACAGAGCACGCCTGATCTGTTGGGCGATAGGGAATCGGATTGTGACGCGAGTGACACGAATGGAACGGCAGAGGGGGGATTTTTTCAGGAGCCGGCCAGCATTTTCAACCGACCGGGTTTCGGATCCGTGGCTTTTAGAAGAACTGTAAGTTTTTCGAAGTTATTGTGAAAGGCCAATTTCTGGGATTTCGAACGAATTTAGGTTTGTAAAGTGTAGTGGGATTTTGTGTAAGCTTCCTAAGTAGAAAAATTTGATATTGTGAGTGGAGTTTTTCCCATTTTGGAAGAATTGTACACGGATTTTGAGACGACCATTTTCTTAAATAGAAGCCAAATTTTAATTTCTAAACTATGTTTCAATATTATGTATATTAACTTAGAATGCTTCCAAAGTACGAAAATTAAAATTACTCTTAACTTCTATTAAACTACGAATTTTATCATTCACTTTTTTCTCTTCAAAATACATTTCTGCAATAATCAATGAATTCCAAGTTTGATTTATTTGGGGGGTGGGGGGATTTATATTAATATTCGCCGAATATCTTTGGAAGAATAAAAATTTTCGTAATTTGAAGTGTCTCCTACCTAGGAAAAATACTATTCCGTTACTAAAATTACCAAATAACAAATAAAAATGTTTTAAAATATTTTCTACTTGCAAGATAACAACAGCTTTCGACAGCCTGTCCTCTCAAGTGGACGCTCAAAATGGCATCCAAGTTGCAAATGGGACCGGAAATGGATCCATGAATGGCCATAGGCCCAATTCAAACGGTAATAACGAAGAAATTAGCATAGGAAGCGCAGGAAGTTTGGCTCGAAGGCAAAGCATGTGGGACGACGATCTCCTTTCAGGTACGTCGTTTGCAATTTTACTCACAAGTAACATCACCTATAATAAATTTGTTTACGAAGTTTACAGCCAAATGTAACCTCAAAGTGTAATATTATTGCAGAAGAAGAAGAAACGGACGAAGAATGGACGCCATTGCAGAGATTTTTAGTCGCAAATAATCTTTCTTCCATTCATTCTATTTTGGAATCCGAACAAATCGACTTGGAAGCCTTAATGTTGTTGACGGAAACCGACATGGCGGCCTTGAAACTTCCACTAGGACCTAAGAGGAAACTTATTAACGCCATAGCCAACCGAAAGAGGGCACTAGATGCTACTCAAAATGTCATTAAAGACAGTAAACTGTAAAGTTTTGGTGTTATGAGTGAATAACCTGAGATTTTTGGGGTGTAATTCGATGCAGCACCATCTGGAAGACAAGGACTTTCAAGATGGATGACGGAGAAACCACGAAAGAGAGTCAAATGGCCGAATTTTGACAATTTAAGAGGGTTAAAAAGAGAAAGACGAACTATTATTAAGAAAATTGAATAATTTGGGAAGAATGGCGGCCATTGGAATGCAATACACAGTAGCGGCCATTTTATGAAATAGTTTCAGATCGCCTAACTATGAAGTGCCTTACGAAATATTGTAAAAATAATTCTTAAAAAAAAATAGACTAAAAGAACAAAGTTTTCGAATTAACTTGATAAAAAAATGGCAGACTAACCTCAAATTTCAGAGTTTACATAGTTAGAACACTATCTGGGGAACCTATTTTTTAATACTAAAGTCTAGAATTCTCCAAACATTTGCGAGTAGGCCGAATTATGACGATTTAAGGCAATTAAAATAGAAAAACTTTCAAAAGACGGTCCCCTATTGGCAGAATTAACTATGCTCAAAAACATGGTAGCAATATACTTACGTAGCCACGGGAAGCTTCCAAAAAGTTTTAAACCACATTTTTATACAAACCTTCACTTAGAAATCTTTTTTTCCAAAAATGTTTTTTTCATACTTTACGTTAAGTAATAATTTTTAAGGTGGCCATTTAAGTACTTAAGTACGTAGAAGTCATATTTAAATCTCTAAATTGCCTATACAATTATAGGAAAGCTTCCAAGAAATCTTAAACCACATTACTATCCCAATCTTCTCTTATTTCCTAACGAAAACTCTTTGTCTTGCATAGACGCCGTATTTAAATTTCTAAATGGTGTACATCATGTTAGAAAGCTTTCAGACATCTTTATACAAACCTTCCCTTAAAAATCTTCTTTTCCTCTAAAAATTTCATACCAAGTAAAAAAGTTTATACCAAGTAATAGTATTTTACACAGCCATTTGCTTGAGTAAAAGCCATATTTAAATTCTAAAATGGCGTGCATCGTCTTAAGTTCTCAAAAATTTGTATCCCAATTTCTTTCAAACCTTTTTTATTTATTAAAAAAAAAAAAAAAACAAATTAGTTAATTTCACTAATATGTTAGATGAATTATTGTAAAAGAAAATTTTAAACTTCTTCAAATGCTCAAGCTTTCATTCCCTTTTTATTTTTCGCTTACTATTCTTCTCTATAAAAAATTATGTCTGCAATTAAACGTGGTTTGAGTAATATTGGCAATATTAATAATTTATGCATTTACAACTACTTAAAAAAAATTAGTATTTTAAAGAAAAATAACCATAATTATTAAAATTCACGATAGAGGGTTTATATTTTTATAATAATACAGTAATCAACTTTACTAATGGAAAGATTTCCATTAAAAACTCATTTCCCAAACTTCCACGCCCAATTTTCACAATTTCGAATCCAAAATTCGATTTTTAATCCAGCAAATGGCCAGGATAATATTAACAGAGTCTGTAAATGCCATAATTCGCCATTTCTTTCCTGTAGAATCTCAGATATTCTTTAATAAAGAAGAGAATTCCCAAAATTTCTGTCTTTATTGTAAAAATTAAGAAAAATTTCTTTATATCGCAATAAATTTAATATAAATTTGTAAAAACGAAACAAAATAAATGTAAATACCAAATCGATCAATAGCGGAAGCTTCCTTAAAAAATCCTTGCGGCTTTATTCGACACATTATTATACAAGAAACCACGCAGAATAAATAAACTAATCGCTTCAGCCATCGTCGAAACAAAATTCTTTATTATTAAATTTCCTCCGAGAGCCAGTTTACTAATTATACAATTCAAGATCAAATCATTCTTTTGCATAATTAATCTTCACGGAAAGTAAACGAACCAACAACGCTTAGTAGATTATGCTATATTTACAAACAGCGAAGAAGAAAAGGGACGAAGCATAATTAATAAAAAAATAACAGTACAAGCGTTGTTGATTGGTTCGTTAGGTGGATTCATTTGTCGAAAGCGCTAATTAGTGAACGAAAAGAATTGTTATTATTGTTATAATATATATTATTATCGAAAAGGATTCTTTTTTTATCGTACAACGGAAACAAAATTCTCTGATTGTTGGGGAAGATTAGAATTTACAATTTTCTCTTCGTTCGACAACAAAAAAAAACTGTATAAAATGATCCTTCCGTCGGACAAAAGATTTCTACGATTTCTTTAGACCAATCGTAACGATATTATAGTAAATTAATCAGAGTCTAAGCGATCCTTTGGGATTATCAAAGAATATTCTACAAAGATCTCCCTCGCAACCGCCCGCATTGTTCTGTGGATTTTTTGTAGACCTCTTCGCAATGTTCGGAACACCTTTTGTATTAGGTTTGGTGTAAAGGGACTTTTTTTATAACCAATTTTGTGGAAAATTGGGAAAGTTTACGGCGTAAATTGGAAATTACGTGTGGAAAAAGTCTTCCGTTAATTAGGTGTTGATTAGGGGGTTAGAACGAGGGAGAAGATTTACATCATGTAGCGCGCCGTTACATGAAACGCGAACGTTTGTGCGTGGGTGAGCCCATGTCCACGTCGTGCGAGGCTGGCCGTTTATGGTGTCGAGCGAATTCACTAGAAATGAACGCAGACAACTCTGCTTGCCTCCCAGTGCGGCGGGACATCGGTGAACCTATCCAGCAAAACATGTTTTATTCATTAATAAACAAATTATAAACGATTTTTTTTATTTTTTTAGTTTTTTCTTTTTACGTACGACAGATATTCATCTCTAGAAATTCCAGGAATATTGAAATAATTATGCTCCTTCGAGGGAATTTCTGGGACAATTGCGAGGGATATTCTTAATTGAGGATTAATAAATGGGAAAATTATAGTAACTTTTAATAATAATTAACACTGGTAAGCTAATCAGTTGGTAGATTTGATATGAAAAGTGAAAAAGAGGATTAATAAGAGCAAAATAATAAGAATTTTTCATAATAAAAATTGATGGGCCAATTAGTTGGTTTTATGGGCATTTGATGAAGTTAGAACTAATTTTTTGGTGTGTAAAATTATTTTGTAAACTATTTATTAGATTTCAAGCAGATTTTTGGGAATATAGAATTGTTTTATGGACCATTAATGGATTTGAAATTTGATTTGAGGGGGGAGTGTTAAAATTTTGCATGCACTATTACATAAGTTTGGAATCTTTAGAAAAAAAATTCAAGTTAAAATTATAATATAGAATAATAAATAGTTGAGATTGTATAACAGAAAAAATAGTGTACAGTGGATCTATCTATCTTCTAGGAGAGTTAAATAAAAATTCGTTGGAATTAGAAATAGCAAGAAAACTAGTATAAAATTATTCGTTATTCGTTATTAACGAATTAATTCTAATAGTTGTTTATTAATATTGATTGATATTGACGATTTATCTATAATGATCCGTTCAGACAAACAGTGTAATAACGAATAACTAATAATAATGAAGTACCAACAAATAATAAGTAAACAATTAAATAGTCATAACAAAATAAACGAATAAAATTTAATTCGTTATTTTTCATTCAGAATAGAATTTCATTTTCACAAACCCCAGAACTGTCTCATAATCCACCAATCAATCTCAAATATTCAAAGTCTTCTCAAATCATAAAATCTTTCTATGAAAATATGTATTAATTAACAATTAACACAGAATTACAAAACAGAACAAATCCACCATTATTTATCATAAAAATCTATCCTCGATATTTAAGCTATTGCATCTATAAACATTGCAATTATTAAATACTTAAATTTTCAAAATATATTCCATGTCTCACACAACTGTCACAAGCCACACGCACGCACACATATTGTAAACAAAACTCTACAAATCTAAACCTTAGACTGAAATCGTAATTGAAAAATTTTTGTTAAGAAATTCAATTAATTTAATTTATTTTATTTCATTATTTGAAGATAGTTCCCACATTCACAGTTATAAAAAGAAAACTTGGAAAAAAGTATCTGGCCAGTACAATTCCTAAAGAAAGGTATTCCATGTTTCATAAATACATTTGACAAACACTCAGCTCAAGATCAATCAGGTTTAGCCAGTAAACGAGGTAAATCGAAGATATTAAACATGCCATTGCACCAATATTTTTCTAATGATTTCAAATCACGAATGATTGCTCTTTTAAAAGATATTGCTTTTAAAAAAAAGCATTTGCAGTGATGCAAAGATAATTTTTAAATATGAATCATGCCTGTACATCGAGACTGAAGACAATCAAGGAAAATTCATTTAGAGACGAGTTGATGAGAAATTTTATCCAGATTATCTCGCTCACAAACAAAAATTTTGGCAATCATTAATGGTGTGAAGTTGTATGTCTCTTGAAGGTGTAGAGAAATTATGTATTGGAAATTTATTTGTTGGTGTTTGCAAATATTATAAAAAATAATTTGCGCGATTTAACAAATAAAAAAATACAAGAATAATGGAAAAAAAAATGATAAAACAAAATCTATACAAGAGTCTAAATACAAGAAATATAGAGTAAATAATATTTATTTTTAATGTTTTTTATTTACAATTTCATGTAACATATATTTTATCAAAGCAAAGGAAGCATACAACCTTACAACCTTATTATTAAATTTTTTATGTTTTCTTTATAGCAGGAAATGCAGTGATGTTTTTTACTGGATTTCTATTATGTTTTTTTATTTCGTGTCAAAATTGAGTTAAGTCAGTTAAAATAAAGCAATTAAGTCCATAGGTTTAAATGTAAACGAAGAGCAACAGGTACATATAGAAGACTGCCATAAGTGCACATGATGTATGGGCTTTTAGTAACAGATTTATCAACTCTAATCATGGGTCAGAATCACGCAACTGAAAAAGAAATTCTATCATATGAAGATGAAAGATAACGAGAACATGCCCAGTTACCTAGCAAAGAGACAAAATAGCTGCGGCTAATTTAGGAGAAGCAATGAAAATTTTGCATATACTTTGTTATCTGGGCTTCCAGACAGATACAAAACCCTGAGAATGACACTGGCAGGCGAGAAATTCACCTATGTAAATTTAAAAAGAGTGCTCTTAACTGAGTACCACAGAAGAATGTGAAGAGAAACAGCTGAAGGCGACATCCACAGAAGCTCTATATGTAGACTGAGAATAAAAAAATGGATATATGGCTGTTGGACAGTGGATGTACATGTGCATCACGTTTGTCACAAAAAGGAATGGCTCACAGATTTCCACAAGCTGAATTCAGAAACGATGAATACCGCAACCGACCTCAAGAAATACAATGGTGCTAATTTAAAGGCAGAGGACACAAGGAACATAGCTTTGAAAACTCTGGTTAAGGACGAAGAAAGAGGTATAATACTACATGACGAGTATTGTTTCAGACATTAGGAAAATTTATTGTCCGCATCTCAAATTAACACTTTGACAGGATTTATCATTATGACATTAGAAAAATTAATTCCCAAGTTAAGTCGTTGAGGGAAATAAATTTGAATAGAATTTGTGAATTTTAACAAGGTTATGGAAATAAGTACTGAAACAAATTTTAGGTTAAGTAGCTTACAATGGTTTAAAATAAAGATTTTACTTTTGCAAAATGTTATATGGTTTTGATCTGACAGTCAGTGTTAAAAAGAAGGAACATTTCTAGCAAACGGACCGTTTACCAATTCAGTACATTATTAATATGCATTTCATTATTTGCGGAAATTCGTTATTTTTCATTTTAAGAATCATTACTGTAATTAGAAACGACATCACAAGAAGAACAGTTCATGAAGCATATAGAAAGACTGTACATAATTAAAACAGTGATCAATGGAATCGCATGCTTTGTACATAAACACGGATGAAATGTGACATCAGAATGAAGAATGTCGATTTTTTCCTGCGATGCATGCTGTGTTACGAAGGCACCGAAATTACCAAACAGGAAACTAAAAAAGAAAAACAAAAAAATCAAGACAGATGCATATGTAAGCAGATTCATTCTGATGTATACAGCACTATGCCAATCAATTCTACTGGTGGCAGTAAATACTTTTCCGTTCACCGATAATATTTCATGAAAAACAGTAGTCAAATAGATGAAAATTAAAGAGGAAGCAAAATTTCACATTAAAAATTACATATCAAAAGTCGAAAATGAATAGAATAAAAAAGATATAGAGATTTAGAACCAACAATAATTTAGAATTCTGGAATAATGAATTGGAAATATTTTTCGACAAAACATACAAGGCATTATAGAGGACAAAATGGGACATAAATGGATTTATAAAGAGAATACTCGGGAGTAGAGACCCAATGAAGGTTGGTCAGATAACGACAGTGATAATGCCCAAAAGTTGAAAATAGCTGAAATGCCTAAGAAACGATCCGACACAATTTCAAGAAGGAAAGTAGATTAAAGAAAATTATTAGAAACCCATATGGACTTAGAGATAAACCAAAAGACTACAATATTATACCAGGCAGTGATGTAGAGTATAAAGAAAACGAAAATAAGATTGAAGCGAATCTAATAGAAATAATCGAGCTTCAAAATTGATTGAAGACCTTAAATCACAGCAAGCAAACATAATGGAAAAATTAGTGAGCCTTGAAAGTAGAACAGCATTTACTGACATTTACCACTGACTACTCTATATGTATATAGCTTGGAGCAATCCGACAGGAACTGGAATAGAAAATTAGACAATTTTCTCATAGAACAAGGATTCAAAAGATTTAAATTGTCAAGCTATACATATCTAAGAGAAGGGTAGATAAGTATACAAAGTATACAAAAGAATTCTAACTGAGAAATAAGGCTGTCGCAAAAAGCATATGTATAGAGCAGCTTATAAGAGAGTTTGACATGGTGGAGTGCCAGGTTGGAATCTGGCGTCGTATCAGAAAGATGGACCAACGATGCAAGAAGAAATTAAAGAAATGAATCATGTACCATATAAAAAATTCTTATTTGTCTATTGTTAAAGTCTTATTTGCAGCAACGAAGCTTTTCCAATAAAACACGAATCCGTGGAAAGTGCATTGAAATCGAGCGAAACACATACTGAGGTATCTGGCGAATACCAAAGAATACGACATAGTCTATAAATCTAGTCAAAAGGTAGACTTGATGCACACTGCGCTGGAGATATAGATCAAAGACATTTGTTCTCAAGCCTAATCATGTGCATAGGCAAGAATGTAATAGATCAGCGTGACACCAAACTACATATCGCAATGTCGAATGGCATAAAAGCTGTTCTTAAGAAAGTAAAAATTAATTATGTTTCAGATAGAGTAGTTAATATGTAGTTCGATAATCAAAAATGTGAAAAACGGATTGGTCAAAATTGCATACGTTCCGTCGAACGAAAATCCCGCCAACATAACGACGAAAGGAATTAACAAAGATATCCCACCAAAGATGAATACATATGTAAAGATTGAATGCAGAAAAGTGTATGATTGAAGATGGTTTCCGCGTTCACAGTCATAGAGGACGTGACGAACTTTCCGAGGACCGCTTTTAGCTGTTTCCCCGTCTGTCTCCTATGTGTGCCCGCCATGATACAAAATGAAAGATATCATAAAACATGCTTTACATTAAAAATTTATATACATGTTCTCATACCGACTTATTGCTATTAATCAGTTTATATACAGGATGAAGCACCTAAAACAGGCCACCTGAATAACTCGCTAATCTGTAATGATAGAAAAAAAAATGTCAAACAAAAGTTGATCGATTTCGAGGGACACATACAGCGATGTCAATAATTTTTTCATAAGCGTAAAGAAAATATGAAGATCAAACTTGTTTGTTTAAATGAGATGATGTACATTTTTATGAATATTCTGATAGAACTATTCAGAACGAGTACAATGACCTATAAATAAAGATTATTCAAGGTTACACAAGGTTAACTGAAATAGAAAATATATCGTTGCAAATTATTTCTATGTTTAAATCATGTCTTCTCTACTTGCTGGTGTCTTGTTGATATCGCTCTTGTAATCGTTCAAACGTATCACTGAATGTAAATAAACATTGAATCACACAAAGCATTATTTGTTTATACTAATTAGTTTGAATTTATCAATTGATCAAAGTACATGTTTGCAATATGCGTTACACGTCGCCAAATGATGAGAGAATCAGTGCATTTGTATACGAAACGATTTCCCGATCATGTTCGTCCTTCGGGAACTGTTTTCTCAAACATGTTATTATTTAAAAATTATTGAATTGGTCAGGGAATATTAGATGGCGTCTACGTTCCTCAGACAAAGTTAAAATAACAAGTGTATAACGAAATACCAACAACTAGAGAATACATGATGGTGCATATAAGGAAAGCTTGCATTGCGAGTAATCCAAATGAAATTCAACGTGCAGTAACTTTACAGCACAGGGTCATCATTTTGGACACTTGTTGTAGGAATAAATACGCCAATAAGTAAATTAGTAAGATATTATAGTTGACCTCGTGCAACCTTAAATGAACTTCATTTATAAGTAATTGTTTTGAAACTCTATCAGAACATACATAAAATCATCCCATTTAAAAAAACAAGTTCGATCTTTATATCTCCTCTATACCTCCACCTACAAAAAAATTATTGACACTGCTTTATGTGCCCTCGAAATCAAACAACTTTTCTTTCATACTTTTTTTTCTTGTATAATTACAAGCAAACAAGTCATTCAGGTGGCCTTTTTATATCACTAAAATAGATTTAATTAAAAATATATTTTTTATATTTTATCAACCGCATGCTACATTATTTATGATTTCTTTTTAATTAAATGAATTTAGATTTAATCTTCAAGTCTCTAATTAAATTCTACGACTTTAAACTATATTCCAAGTTCTCCACCATTCCCACAATTCACACATATACGAGCGCGCGGGCAATAGTTCCAAATAAAACACGAAACTTCACAAATTAACACCTAGTGACATAACGAAAGACAGTGTTATCATAATCAAAAGTAAAATAATTCTCACCAGATAGTGCAATCGCTTCTCTAAATGTGTGTAACTCAGGATCAGGGTCGTTTCCAGCTGTGGCTGTAGGAGCCATCACCATACTTGGTGTGGCACTCTGTGATGGTGGAGAACCACACACCATCATCCGTGGTTTAGGCGAACTCCTGCAAATTTTCACAAATTTCACACACACGATTTTTTATTTTCCAGTACCATTTTCAATAATAAAACTATAATACATAACAATTTTTCTATAATATTTTCAATTTTCAATAAAAAAAAACCTTTTTTACTGAAGAATTTTCCAACAATATTTTCACATTTTGATAAAATTATGTAATAACTCTGTGCAAACTTATCGTTTTGATAAAACTGTGTGCAAAAAGTTTATATAGAAATGTGTTTCGAGTAAGAACCTGTGCGAATGTGGTCGTGGTGGAGGCGGTTTTCCAGCAAGATAAGCTAAGAGGTCTTCTCTGCGAATCATGCGTCTCTTTTTCCTTGCCCAGTTCATTATTTCTTTGCTACGCTTTTGACGCCCCATTTCTACACCCAGTTCACTGCATCGACGCATACTATCCACAGAATCTATGGAAACAATTATTGTATTAATACAAATATTATGTGACAAAAACCAATAATTATTGTAAACCAGTTGCAGTAGTTTGTTTGCACTAACTATAAATGGGAAATTTGAGATATTGGATGCAAAAACTTTTGGAACTTTTATTCATTGGAAAATATAGTTTCATATTCTTCTATGATAAATGATACGTTTCAATCAGTAATTACTGTAATATAGGATAATAATAACATTTGAGACGTTCAACAGACAAAAACTATTTTTGAATACGTATTAACTGGAAATAAAATTATATATTCTTCTACAATATGATAAACAATAATATTTGTGACATTTGAAACTATCTTGACATTTCTATTTGCTGGGGAAATAAATATTATATTCTCTTATAATGCACAATAAGTTTGATTCGGTAATTAATTATTCATCAATAAGATTATAATAATGTATCTGAGGCATTTGATAGAAACTTTTGGAACTCGTAAAGCTTAATTTATTTTTTACAAGATCGCATGCCAAATATAGGTGGAATAAACTGTTTGCATTATGAAAATATAATTCATTAAGGTTTGATTGTATTTTCAAATTGAAAGATTAACGAAAACAACACTAGAAGTAAAAGGAGGAATGAGAGGCAAAAACAAAAATAAAAAGAAGAGTGACAAAAACGGCACTAGAAATAGAAGAAAAAAAATGATAAAGACAACACCAAAAATAAAAATTGAAATAGAAGAAGGAAAGAGAAATTGTAACAAAAACAGTACTTGATCATAACCTCAAAATAAAGAGGCAGAAAACCCCAAATTAATAGTTCGTTGACGATCCTAGACGTACCTTTGTACAATGACGTGACAGTCCCAGCGGCAGTCTGGAAGGGCAGCCATAGCGAGACGCCCTGCGTTCGATCTATAAAACACGAAAAAAGTGGGGTTAAATAAAATACTCAAATCAGATCGATACTTCTACCTCTCGAATATATCGAATACTTCGACTAATCGAAATACTGTCTTTTAAACAAAATGGACGGTCGCTTTTCTACATTAACCAAATAAAATAAACCTTTTTATTATTATTATTATATTTTGAAGAGATTATGATTGTTAACGGTACATATTGTCTTTAAAACAACATAGACAGTCACTTTTTGTAAAAGTAACCTCGAAATAATAAACTTTTCTAAATATTATTATAATACTTAAAAAGATTATGGTTGTTAGTTATGGTCGCCTTTTTACATTCGATCAATCGATACACTGTCTAAAATCAAAATGGACGTCACTTTTTGCAAAAATAACCTCCACGCAATTAACTTTTCTAGCTATTACTATAATACTTCGGAGAATGAATTATGGTTAATGGAAACTTCGACTAATCGAAATACTATCTTTAAACAAAATGGACGGTCACTTTTTGCATAAACGAAAAATAATCTCCACATAATGAACTTTTCTAGCTATTATTCAATTATTGTACTTTGAAAAATAGATTATTACTGTCTTTGAAGCTGCAACTAATCGAAACACTGTTTAAAACAAAATGGACGGTCATTTTTTGCAAAAACCAAAAATAACCTCCAGATAATAAACGTTTCTATTATTATATTTCAAAGAAATTATGATTGTTAATAGTATATTCGACTAATTGAGACACTACCTAAAAATAAAATGGACGGTCACTTTTCACAAAAATAACCTCCAAATAATAAACTTTTCAACTATTATTAAAATACTTTGAAAAGATTATGGTTGTTAATTATAGTCGCTTTTGTAACTTCGACTCATCGAAACATTGTCTTTAAAGACAAAATAGACGATCAAAGACAAACATAATCTCCACAAAATAAAGTTTTCTAGCAATTATGATAGTTGGAAGGAAGAAATTATGGTTGCCTTTGTACAGCTGGGCGATGGCCGACGCCGTGGTCTGGAAGCTTATCCACATTTGCTGGGAGTATAGTTCTTTCTCATTGTGGAGCTGAGTTTCATAATCCGGCTCCGCCTCCAGCGCCTCGACGCACTGTTGTTCCCAATTACTATACCAGAGATCCATTATGGGATCTTCTTCGCTTCTATCCTCGCTCATGATCTCCGTCTTTCAAGTTGTCGCGACTTTTTTCCTCAACACTGAACACACACACACGCCACACACGCAAATTAAACTGCGTCGTAAGAGTTTTTATGTTTTGGTTTAGGATTGTTTTCGCGTAATCATGCACGACACGCTTAGTTTGAAGAAGTCAGGTCGCGGCCATTGTGGTTTTTAGTGCCTCCGTTGGAGGATTGTAGCAATTGCACGGAAGCAAGGAAACGAGAATATACGGAAAGCAGGTAGGAACGGAACAACAGGCATAATACCTTCGATGCGCACGGAAGGCGAAAGACTGGATGGTGGATGGGACTCCGGAGTGGGGGGGCTTGTGGTGCTATCTGGATGGCTGATTTGAGGAACTAAAATGTGGCAAAAGGTTGAAGTTTAAAGCTGAATGTTTACTGTTGGCAAGGAAGATTCGTAGAGATTTTTGTTAATTATGGTGAAATTTATGTAATAATGTATTAACATTGGTCGCTTATATTTCTTTGTAATATTAATTACAAAGTTCGTTTTAACAAACAGTAATTTTCTACTTATTTTTTACTATTATTACATTCACTACTATACTAATGCATATCTCTGACCGAACACACTAATAACTCGAATGTGAAGTTCCTTCACTCGACATTCTAATATTAGTAATGAATTGCGAGAATTTTGATGGTTGGTATTTCTTTCTCTATATGTATGAACATTGGTAAAATGTTTACATTGGAATTTTGTTTTGTATACATTGTGACATTCATTTAAAAGTTACATTTCGTTTCTTGAATGGAATACAAATTTTCAAACCAGCTTTTATTTTTAATATATTTTAATACGGAGAAATCAAAAATGAAAGTCTTGATTGAGGTAATTAGTGCTATTAACCCAAACCTAACCTAGTAATAACTCAAATGTGACGTTCGCCACTGAATATTCTACTGTTGGTAAAGAAGGATCGCGATAATTTTATCACAGACGAGATATATGAATAGACGTCTCACGTAATGTAATTTTTCGGCCGGAGTTTCTGGGGTCCCGGGACCCCATTACCATTTTCGTGTCACTCGCAACGTTATCAACAGATTCAGAAATTAACACAAGAGGAAGTGAGACAGAAAATAAAATTACATAAATTTTATTATTTTTTAACGGAATTAAAGCTGTAGGGTCTATCATTGGACATTAATCGATTAATTTCATTGGAGAAATCAATCGATTAAGAGTATTTAAAAATTTCAAGATTATTAAAATTCCTAAGGATGTATTTCATTGATACGTACACTGCAAATTCTCTATTTTTTATTTTAAATTGTAATACATCATTTATTAAAAAAATAACTCGGCAGAAACGTATTTGCGACTCGAAATCAGTTTAATCAGACTGTGCATCGGGGCCCCGGAAACTTCTCATTCCTCACTTTCGCACACTATGCCCAAGTGCGTGTACGTGAGCTCGTTGAATTTCGGAAGAGCCGAGAAGAACAGGCTGATACTTGCTTTCCTTCTCGCTCTTGCATCGCTGACGTCGCTTACATTTCTCGAAAGCAAGCCTGCTGGCATCGCCACCCGTTCGAATCGTCAGTAAACGACAAAAGCCATCGTGACTGACAGACCTTACATTTCTCGAAATCGGACCTGGGCGCTTTTTGAAGATTCATTGACTTTCCATACGAAGCGACCATGCGTTATATACATATACATGTTATACATGCTAGGAACTATAAGTTGTATAACTTTTGTCGTATATCTACTCTCTAATAACATGGGAAAATTTTAAAATATAAAAAAATGTAAGAATACTGTAGAATTTTTGCAATGGAGAATTATTGAAGGAAAATGAATTGATTATATACATATGTATATATCGGACACATCCCTCGCAAACACGCTGCAAACATTAATGAGAACAAAACTGCAAATCTGTCCTTTTTTAAAACCCCGCAACTGATCTTTGACTCGGAACTCGTCCTCTTCATTTAGCAATTATAATAAACGTAGACTCATTAAAATTCGTAAAAATAACAAAGTTATAGCCATTTAGAGGGAAGAGTACCCAACGGTTAATAATCATACCAGAAATTTTAAATGAGTTTTTCTCGAAACCATTGTAGCATACCGGATAGAACAAAAGAAAAAGAATGCGTTTTATAGGATAGACCAATAAATTTGTTTTTTTATTTATAATATTACACAGTGGCTCGATTCACAGATCCTTTTCGCACGGGCCTCGTACTTACATCAACTCGACTCTTGGCTGCGCGCGTCGAAATCGCGCCGCTCTTCGCGACACTCACTCACACACACACACAGACACACACAGGCCCCTTCCACTGATATCCTGCCTGACATACAACACCATATTTTCGAAATTGCCTGACATGATATCACAAATTCATATTGATTAATGGATTTGAAATTTATAGAGACATGCCTGTATGTTAGAAATTTTGCCTTTGACGGTTCTGGGGTAAGTCCTGTGCCGTTCCTCACAGTGCTCTTACCGGAAGGTCCCACGCCTTCCCCACTCCGTGGTCAGATCCTTCAGGACAAAGTCTTCATTTTTTCCAGCAGTACGACGTCAGGTCGTCTGCCTCTTTTAACTACTCTCTCTCTCTATTCATAAACAATCAATGCCTCGACACGCGCTACCTGGAGACCCAACGCGGTCGTCCGCTATCGCGTCACCCGTTGCCAGGCCTGTTTAGTCTCATTCGCTCTTTAGGCCACATGCACCCCAAAACTCTGTCATAAATGTATCGTAGACTGAGCGTCCTTCAGTGGTCCTTACATTCGACTCTCTTGGAAAATACATTGTCGCTAGCGTTTCTGGAAAACAAAAGCCGATCCCCTATTTCGGGGGAATGTCCACGCGTCGCGTCCAACCATTGTTGCCGTGGCGAAATCGACTTTTTTGCCTTCGCCTTCGAAAAAGATTAAGCAAAAGAGTTTTCTTCATTGAAAGAACAAAAATTTTCCAGTCCTTTATTTTCAGTAGGGGCGGTCTCAACTTCCATTCATTTTCATATGATTGATTTTAATGAGTCAGCGTTTTTTTAAATTGCTAAACAAAGAGGACAAATAGGACAGTATTCTCAAATATTTTCAGATTTAAAAATTTAAAATTACAGTGAAATTTATTCAGTTGTTTAGACCCAATAGTATTAATAGTATAAATATATGAACGCACGTCTTAAGGTGAAAGGTCTATTCATATGTATATCTCGTCTGTGGTATAACCATATGTATATCTCGTCTGTGGTATAACCATAGACGAGGTATATGAATAGACCTTTCACCTTATGGACTTTCGAGGCCGAATCTGACTGCCATACCGACCTGAAAATTCGGAGGTGATTTTAGCGGCCTCTTCTCATGGATGGCATTTCGATTGCGAATCTCCGAGGGATGTTACAAGAAAGGAGCCTAACCATCAGTGGAAATAGAAGTGACTTGATCAAGAGATTGCTGGAAAACGATCCGCTATTAGAGGATGGGGTGGCCGCGCAAGCAGAGCCAAGTTTGGAAGAAAGCAGGGTCGACGTTCCACAGGAAATGAGTGCGCAGGACGTGAATCCGTGGTTAGAGAAGGAAAGAGAACTGTTGCGAAGGGAGCGAGAATTGTTAGAGCGCGAAAGACAATTGTGGCAGAGAGAATCTGCATCGCCGTATACTGGCAGTGTTAGCAGCCAAATGACAATGAATCTGAGGACGATTTCGGAAATGTTACGAGAATTTACGGGGGAATCTAACGATTTCGAAACTTGGAAACAGCAGGTGGAGGTGTTACGCAACAGCTATCAACTGGACGACAATTCAGTTAAGATTTTGATAAACTTGCGACTGAAAGGCAAGGCATTAAAATGGTGCCAATCAAAACCGAGTCATCTCTCGATGTCCGCTACTGAATTGCTCGCAGAGATGAAGGGAGTTTTCGATCATCGTCCGAGCAAGCTGGCGCTACGAAGAGAAATGGAAGCTCGAGCGTGGAATCGGAATGAGACGTTCTACGATTATTATATACAGAAGCTAACGTTGGCGAACCAAGTCAACATAGACTCCGAAGAATTGGTGGACCTGCTGATTGACGGCATTCCGGACATCCGCCTAAGAGACCAGGCGCGGATGAATTGCTACGGAAGTGCCGAGGATTTATTACGTGCGTTCAGGAAAGTGGGGCTTGGAGAAAACACCAGAGTGGACCGGAAAAGACAGCCGACCCCGAGACCACCGACAAGGCAGGATGCGATCGATCAGGAATTTCGATGTTATAATTGTCATTCGACGGGGCACATTAAGAGGAATTGCCCGAAGCCGCTGAGGACTTGGGGATCTTGTTACAGCTGTGGCAGCAACGAGCATCGTGCAAACGCTTGCACCTCAACTTTAACTTCGACCAGGACGTCTAGAGCAGCGAGGACTTCCGAGGCAACCAACGTCCATCTCGTCCAACCATGCTCACCCCAGGATGCGTTTACAGTACCGATATCGTTTATGGTCGGCGATAATTGTGGTAGGCCAAAAGAAATCGAAACGGTAGCAATGCTAGATTCAGGATCGCCGGTAAGTCTAATGAAAGAAAATGTATTAGGAGGCGAGTCGTATAAACGCATCTCGTCAAACGATCACATCTATTGCGGCGTAAATGGGTCGCGGTTGAATATAAAAGGCATTTTCGAGCAACGGGTAAAAGTTAACGGATTACCACTTAATATGAATTTTTTTGTTGTACCGAATACCACTATGTCATGCGCGATAATTCTTGGACGTGATTATATTTTGTCGGCGAAGGTAAACATTTCTTTGGGAACGGAGTATAAAATCGAAAGTGCAACCGCTGCAGACCCTGAAATGGAAAATTTTGTAACGGAAATTATGAACATTGAGATTAACGATAAATTAGATTCGCCGGTAGCCAATTTAAACATTAATCAAGAAAGTTCGGAAGAAAACAAAGCCAAAATTCGAAATATTTTTACGCGTCAATATCTAGAGCCGATTCGACCCACGGAACCCAAAATAAACGCAGAAATCTCGTTAGCGATTAAAGAACACCAACCGTTTCATTTTTCACCGCGAAGATTGTCATACGCCGAAAAAGGAGCGGTTCGGAAAATTCTGGACGATCTATTGGAAAAGAACGTTATTAGGCCCAGCAATTCAGAATACGCGTCACCAATTGTACTAGTCAGAAAGAAGAATGATGAATATCGTATGTGCGTTGATTACAGAACCCTTAACAAGTCGCTCTCGAAAGATAATTACCCTCTACCTTTAATCGAAGACCAGTTGGATG